TACAAAGATAAACATATGCACAAATATGCAAGTACACACACCACCATCAAATCTGCTCACTGCAGGAAACTACATGAAATTGATAAGATTTATATGTAAAAACATTTATTGAAGAGAAAACAATATTATGTAAGAGCTCATTTTCCCCTTGGGGTTTAGGGCAGTAGCTTAATGTTACCAATAAATATTTTGCCTGGATAGGACTCAGGAATGGCATCAGTTAAACAAAAGAAAGACTGAAGCTATCTGCAAAAATGTCTTGCTGTTAGCTTTATTTGGAAATAAACATAATATAAATGCTGGAAGATCATTTGATTTCCATTAAGTAATGACCCAAATCCTGAGCAGTTATGAATGACAGTGGATTTACACTGGCTAAAACTGATGTCAGTACCTTGTGAGTCTGATTTGCCTGCAGTATTTTTTAAAACCAGTTTTGGTATTTTACCAGTGTTTAACCATCAAGAGAGTTCAGTTACTTAAATCCCTCCATTCGGTGAATTTCTAGAAGATTCTGGTCCGTGCCAAGCAGGAAACACGACACCCTTCAATAGCACCATAACATGTGGCTCTGGCAGTAATCCTCATTTTCCAGCAATGTTCCAGTTTAGTTTCAATGAACTCATAACCAAGAAAGATAAAGACAATTTGGAATCACTTTTGCACTTGGAGAAGCCAAAGACAGAACTTAAAACCAGCTGTGAACAAGGGAGGCAGCTGAATATAATCATAAGGTAAAACAGCATGCAGTTACAATCAGTTGAATGCTCCATTATTTCAAAGGTTGTTTTGTGAAAGGCTCCAGCAGTGATAATATCACTTAGCAAACTTTATTAAGCTCATTTTTCCCCTCCCACCTTTTCCTGCTGTTAGTGGACGTGCAGCCCACTGCCCTTGTTCAGGCCTTAGCTCTCAGGGTGTTCTTCCTGTTCATGGTTCATCCCACATGAAAATCTGATGGTTAATGAGAGACCTGGGTGGTGCAAACTAGTCCTTGTCTGTAAGAACTGCAGCCGTGAAAGGTCTGGGGAGTCGTGAGCCTGCTGCTTGTGCTTCTTTTCAGGAAAACCATTGGTACAAAGTAAAATGTCTTCTGCTGCCCGCCTGGTCAGGAAGTGGAGCTGTGGGCCATTGCTGAGTTATTTGTTATTTGTTTTTGTGTAGAAAGCAGGATTTTTTTTAATACTATCTTAAAGCACTCACTTTTTTTTTTTTTTAACTGTGTAATGTTTAAGCAGCAGGAAACAGTAAATATGTGGAATTGCTTCCAATTGAAAATGAGCCCATGCCTGCAGTTCTGATGCTGCTGTCCCAAGCTGTTATATGTGGACATTTTAATAACAACTGTCACCTAAAAAGCTCAGCTCCACACATGATCTGACCCTAAGCTAATCCAGCTGGTGGTCAATAGACATCTTTCCCGTTAAAAACTAAGTCCTATTTCACATGGCCTTTGGATTTTTGGGTTGTTTTATCTGTATGGTTTATTACTTTAATTAAATATAGGATTTTCTTGTTATGTTCTATACTGGAAAAGCTCTGTATATTAATATTCAGTCTTTTAACATTTGCTATCAAAATGAGGCTTGAAAATTGTTCTTAATGATGATTGATAATTCTGTATTTAATCTTGTCACACCCTCTGGCAGCTTTACCAGTGATGCAAAGTTAATGCTTTTCTCTCACCCCATTTTATCACTAGAATGAATCAAACTATTCATACTGAACAATGTTTAGATTAATGTTAAACTGATTAATTCTTATGCAGTATATCACTATTTGTTTGCTGCTTTTTGGAAGCTGTATAAAATCTTCTCTAGGCTTGCGCTAAGTGGCAAAGGCAAAACAATTGGAAATGATCATGACGTGCTGCTATTTACTTGCAAGAAGAGTGAAGAACACAGTGAAGCAGAAGTTAGGAGGTGAGCACATCCCTGTAGCTCAGGGTATCCCATGAATATACAGTGTCATACTTAGGCAAATACCCAACGAGTTTATAAAGTAAGATTTAATTTTTTTTAGTCCTTTGCGGTTCTCTGACAGACAAAAAAAATGTCCAAATTAAAAAACAGCTGTTAGTTCCGGTAACCAGGGAGATGCAGATTAACTTCTTAAGTGTATGGAATTGGTTTGGTTGATCACTTTTAGCTTGCTCTACTAGATGGTTGCTAAAAATTACTTTGTTATGAAAAGGAATGCATGGCCTTTATTTTTCTATCATTGGTGTTTCTATAATAAAGATTGTATTTAGTCATTAAAGTGTGCACTGCTGTGCAGTTGTTTTCTCTCGAGTGCTGTTTCACCTAAACATTTTAAAATACAAACACCATCTGTAGCAATCAAACAGGATTGTATGGGCTTGCAACACAGTCACAGATATACTCATGTCCTTGCTGTAACTGACAGTGATGTTTTTTTCCAGCCTGGGCATTTCCTCTTACATTTCCATCTTTGTTTCATCAGCATTTAGGAAAAAAAAAAAGATAAAAAGGAGTATTAAAAATAGTATGAGGTTTTCTGTTCATCTCCCCACAACTTCCTTGAGTTTCTTCTTTATGTCTACTTCTGTTTCCTATTTGTCCAATAAACACAGACCATAACTCACAGCAGAGGTAATGGATGTTTGTTACTTTGTACTTAAACCTCTTTCTCAGATAATTATCTTAGGCATTATGATGAGATTCTTTGGAGGAGAGTGCATCCTTTATTGTGCAGTTATGGAAAATACAGGAAATAATAGCTTGGAAAATTCCAGAAGTAAACTCCAGAATTCAACAGTTTCTATGTCACTCAAAGGAATTCCTGAAGGAACTTGACTTTGCTGTGACTTTGCTGTTTCTCACGTCAGCACACAATAGCCAGCTTAAAATAGAACAACCATAAGGCAACTGCGTGTGGTAAACTGTTCAATAGAAGGGGACACACACAAGTTCTTCAGATTTATCTTCGAAGGTTTCCCAGTGAAACATGAAATGAAGCTTGGCTAATTAGTGCAGCCAGACCCCATCGGGGGTGCAGTTCGTGCAGCATCTCACTGCTGGGAGGCTGCATGATGTGGCTGGGCTGGCTCAGAGGGTGGGCAGAGAGATGAGGAAATGGGATCCCACCTTCTCTGTGGGGCTAAGGCTCAGAAGGGGCTGTTTGAGTCTCATATTCGTGGCTACACAAGCTAAGATAGGAGAACTGCAGGAAGCAGATGTGGTAAATATAGGAAGAGAGAAACCTATATGCGACTAGCAGCAGATTCAGGAACCTGCTAGAGAAGTGCCAGTAAGGGCACCAGAAATAAAGCAACTTCTCTCAGTGATAAGATGCCACAATAATGACTGCTGGATGTCCCAGATTTTTTTTCTTTCTTAACAGGGATTTATGGCATGTAGAGGAATAATCCATAATTTTTCTTTTTAAGGCAAAAAATAAACCTGTCAGTCACACCAGGGACTGTCCTAGAAGCACACAGCTTTAGAGTCCACTGAAGAACTGTTTTTGCATCACAGTGTCTAGGAGAGAAAGGAAGTACTTTTAAAAGGCATCAATTCAAAGAAAGTAACAAGGGTGAGTAGAGAAAGATTTCTGTGAACTAACCACTAGTAAAATGACATATGATGCTTAAGGAGTACATGGGAGGGTAATGGACAAACTGAGTTCACTCTCTGTTGCTCATGATAAGAAAGATCTGAATCAAGCTTTTATCTGTGAAGTCCTCCACAGGAAGACCAGGGCAGGCGGGGCTGAGAATTGTGGGCACAGCTGAAGCTCTGAGTATCTGGGCTTTCCCTGCTAGCCACAAAACATCAGCTAAGTTACAGTTCTCTCTTCTGCAAATCCTATTCCCTAGGACACTGCTAGATCATAAGTATCTTATTAAATTATTGTTTCATTGGCTCAGATTCTTAATTCCTTTTAAAGATTTGAAGAAAGTCTTAAGTTGCATTTTCCATATGCAGAAATATCATAAATAGTTGTAGAGAAATGAAAAGCATTCAAGCTTCTACAGTAAAATTTAAAATGTTACCAGCCCCAACTATCTAGTACAGCTCTAAGGTTGTGACAGTGCCTTCATTTAGTATGTATGTGCACATTAAGCACATTACTGGTGTCAGAAAATGGTTTTCTGGATTTGGGTTTTATTACATTGCCCTTTCCAACATCTATGTGTGCAGCTCAGTGCTCCCTCTTGACCTCGCACGCCCTGAACACCACACTGACAGATACCTTCACCAAGGGCAGATTTGCAATACAAATGAGCTTGTGATTTTCACTGTTCAAAGCATAAAGTCTTCCACCTCTGAGTGATATACTGCAAAATATCTTTAGTTCTACTCTGCATTTAATGGCAAGCTACACAAAATGCTGCCATCTTGTGTTTAAAGACGCAGTGAACATGCTGAACATTGTGATAAATAGGATCTGTGGTGTAGACGCTTATGCTGAAGAACGAAGGGAATGAATAATGGAAAAGACACAGCTTTGCTTAATAATCTGCTTTTAAAAAATCCCATCTCCAGAGCACGTGCCTGCAAGCTCTTGGAGCCAAAGCGACGGTGCTATTTTCCAAAGCTGCCCCAGGGTCAGGTTGAACTACTCTGACCATCCCAGCCCAGGTGTGCAGGCACTGCGGGGCTGCTGTGCGATGTGCTGGGTGCCCCATCCCAGGAGACAGCCAAGGGCAGGCTGGAAGGGGCTCCGATGGAGCCGCAGGTGTCCCTGTTCAGTGCAGGGAGTAGGACAGATCTTCTCACGCTGCATTTTAGAAAAGGCAATAAATAGAAGTTGCCTGCATAGCAAGTGTGCTCGTTGTGTAAGAAACTGTCTGCCTCTGAGCATGGAAAACACGTAAGATGCATTGCATAGTGCCACAACGGCAGCGGACAGTTTGCGTGTTTCTGAGGAAAAGCTGTTTAAATATTCAGTCCGAAGGAACCTGCAGAGGTCATCAGGCTGAAATGCCCGAACTTCAGGGCTCTCTCAGGCACATTACAGCAGGCATTATCCAAACGGCTCCTGACCGCTGCCAGGATGGGGCACGGACCGCTCACTAGGAAGCTGTTCCAGTGTTCGACCACCCTCACAACACACAACGCTTACGTCCGCCGGAACCCCCGGCTCCGGCTCTGCGCCATCTCCTCACGCTCCGCCATCCGCACCGGAGAGCGCAGAGCGGAGCCCGCCCTCGTGACTCCGACCGACCTCCGACCCCCCACACAGGGCAACCCGAGGCGTTCCGTCCTCACGGCACGCCTCCAACTCCGTCACCAGTTTCGCTGCACCAGGTTTTCTCGCTTTTATTTGGTCCGCCATTTAATCGCCCCCCACTCTCACCCACTCCCCCCCACCCTTGCCGGCCCACCACGCAGCCGCCCGCCCAGCCCGGCCCTCCCGCCTCAGCCACTGACGGCCCGCCTGCCGCGCACACCCCGCCCCGCCAACATGGCGCTGGCGCTGGTGGCCGAGGGGGGCCGGCGCTGCCTGCGGGCGTTGCAGCGTCAGTGAGTGCGGGCCGGGAGGGAACCGGCGTTGGCAGCGCCTGCGGGGGGAGGGAGCCGGGGCGGCGGGGGGCCGTGTGCGGGAGGAGGACCGGAGGAGCCGCGCCGACGGGCGGAGCGCTGTGCGCTGAGGGGGCGGCGGGCGTTGGGCCGCTGCTCGGGGCGGGACGGGCGGCACGGAGCGTGACCGCTTCTGTGGAGATCAGCGAGCCGGAAACACCCACGGCCCCCAGCACGGCAGCTTCTAACGGGCGGTTTCCAGCACGGTTGCCCTGCAGGCTGGTTTGGGGTTTGGTGCCCTTCTCCGCTCCCCCCCGCTGTACAGACAGCTCTCTCCTGTGCTGCTCGTGCCTTTCCCTCACACTTGCCCTCTCTGCAGTAAATCCCAGTGTCTGATGTGCCCACCGAAAGATAAGAATTTGCGAATTTGCTTACGTTTGCTGTTCCAATCTGAACGCTGCTCAGAAAGCAAGAGGGCAATCTGTTGTTCCCGTTGTGCCTAAAGGGGAGCCCTTTCAAGGAAACAGCGAAGTCTGTACAACCTTACCATGTTGTGCTTGGTTATGCTGTGTTTAAATAGCAGTATCAGCAGCTTCAGAGTTGAACTGGTGCTGTGCTTTCACCTGAAAATAGAAGTTGTTCAGCTGCAATTCCTTTGTCTGCTTTTGTAACAGTCCTGTGTTTGTAATTGCAGACCATGGAGTCCTGCGCTGCTGTTGGCAAAGCGTGCCTCCACAGCAGGTATGCTGTGCTTCCTTCGGCTACCAGCCTCCATTGCTTGTGTTATGTGGGTGATTTTGCAACAGTTTTAGACTGTTTTAGCTGTAATTCTTGTATTTGTTTTTTTTAATGAACATTCTATATTTGTATAGTTTTGGAAAACAGTTGTTTGTACCTGACTTAACAGAAATCACCTTTAATTTGTGACAGTTTTATCTGTCATGGTGGTACTCAACTCACATGAAAACTACTAATTTTCATGATGTTTTCCTGTGTGATCCTTTGTGATACAGAGATGGCAAAGCCAGATATGACAGTACTTAAGCAACATTAGAAATGAGATAGTAAAGTTTAACAAGGTGATCTAAACCGACCCTCTTGTCAAATTTCTTAAAAGGATACGTTTTAGAATTCTGAGATGTATTATCATTTTATTGGTTATTTTTAACTGTGCCAGTTTAACTAAAGAAGTACATAAGCACCATAAATAGTTTTATTTCGAGGAGTGTTTTTAAGGGTACATTTTGAAATTGCTTACTGTGCTTTGGTCTTTTAAACAGAAAATCACAGCATAGGGAAGATTCTGATTGCAAACCGAGGAGAAATTGCGTGCAGAGTGATGCGAACGGCAAGGAAGATGGGTGTGAAGTCTGTAGCAGTTTATAGTGAAGCAGACAGAAATTCCATGCATGTAGCAATGGTGAAGTATATTCATTACATTTATGATTGGAAACACTGAAGCGTGGGACTAACATTCATTTACAGTGGTAGTTAATGAGTAAGCTAAATGTGAAAGTTGGTGTGTGCAGTTGATTTTTCACTTCTCTGGAGTTGTTCCCAAGTTTCCCTGGAATCATTCAATGGTTTGCTTAATCTCAGTATTAACACCTGACACTGTTACAGGAAGTGCAGAAAAGTTTGGTGCCATTGGGAATTAGAGAATGACCTTTGATTTTTAGAAGGTCAGAATTTGTTTCTCCTAGTTGAGCTGCTCTCGGAAGTGAGAGATGTAATCTGAGATTTAAGAGATTTTAACTGTTGCATTGCAGCAGTCATTTTAAAATGAGCTCCGAAATCTGAAGCTAATACTGCTTTTCATTGTCTGTAATAAATAGTCTATGCAATATCTATTTTTGCTGTATCAGGCAGATGAAGCATATTGCATTGGTCCAGCACCCTCACAGCAGAGTTATTTGGCCGTTGAGAAAATAATACAGGTGGCCAAGACCTCAGCAGCACAGGTATGTTGGTCACAACCTTAAATCTTTGGATACATGCCTGATGTTTAGTTTTTCATGTTTACACGTGATAGTTCAATCTTTTGCTTGCCTAGCAATATGTTGAAGTTTCAGGCTAGTTTCTAATGCAAAAATGGGCTGGTAACTTTATTCTATTTTAGGCTATTCATCCAGGTTATGGTTTCCTCTCAGAAAACACAGAATTTGCAGAGCTGTGCAAGCAAGAGGGAATCATCTTCATAGGTCCGCCTTCATCTGCTATCAGAGATATGGGTATTAAAAGGTATCTAATTTGTTACTTGGTTATGCAATTTATAGTTTGCTAAGGCTAATTTTTTTTAATTATTTTATTCCACCAATTTTAATGTTCATATTTTTTGTTCTATTTTTGAAAGAATAAGTTCAAAGTTGCTGTTGACATAGGATTGTTCAGTCATTAGGGTTTCAATAATTAAGTACCCAGCTGAATCTAGTCTTCCAGGACTGGGACATTGCAGTGTTATATAGATACAGGTTAAGCAGTCAGGTTGTCTCTCTTGCATATTGGAACCATATCGTCAGAGGTTCTTGTGGCTGGTGTAAAATGGGATGGTAAGTTTTATTCATCAGAGGACCTTATTCTTAGTTACTTGTGCTGGCAACATTTCTTTGGTTTGTGAAGTCTAAGTAAGGGATAGGGAAATAAGGTTATTAGTAACACATGAAATGTGAATACTTTCAGAGAGCTAATCTGTTATCACTTGCTAATATGAGGGTGAATTGCCTCTGTAATTTAGCTAGTTTGGCATGCTTGTTGGAAGTTGTTGTTATGCTTGAGTCTTTCATGCCATCCTGTATGAAAAAAGCTTTATCTTTGTACAACTTTTAATGTAATTCTATCAAGGTGCAATGTGGTGATTTGGAAATGTGTGGTTTTGGCCTCCATGAAGTAGGCCAAAGGGTAGAATAGAACAGTAAGCCTGAAAACTGACTGCTGCTTTCATCTGGAGATCTTGGAGAAAAAAAATCCCCACTTGAATCATTTGATTAATTAATTACAGTAAAATTTGTAAGTAGTCCCACTGAGATCAGTGGAACCGCTTTTATGAGGAGAATTAACCAGGGCAACGTATGCAGGTTTGGAACTTGAGAGAAAAATGTCTTTGTCATTCTAAATGTAAAACTGTTCTGTCGAAGCACTTCCAAAGCTATAATGTCTGCTGCTGGCGTTCCTGTTGTTGAAGGTTATCATGGAGAAGATCAGTCAGACCAGTGTCTAAAAGAGAATGCCATGAGAATAGGATATCCAGTAATGATTAAAGCTGTTCGCGGCGGTGGAGGAAAGGTAAGGAAGCTGACACAGATCTGGTTATCATAGTTGTGATAGTTGTGATCTTGCATTAGTTTCTAGTGGTAGATTATTCTAAAAGAAATGTATGAAAACAAACTTTCAAACAGGCTATTTTTGGTTAGATTGTATTAGTAATGTCCAGTACAGCACAGTGAAACCTGGCTGCCCTTCATTGTTGAGTCAGGCAAAAAAAGTAAGTAGAGAGTGCAGAGTGGACACGTTTATTTTTATTGGTTGCATTGGATTTCTGGAAAATGACATAAGCAGGTGGACTGTTGTAGAGGTTTATCTGGGTGAAAGGAGTTGTTACTTAGTGACTTCATTAACTTCTTTGATTAACAGTTTTAAGTGTTACATAAAAATGATTAGAGATACATTTAATTTTTTTTTTACATGTGGATACTTTTTAATGTAGAATGAATTCCCAGCCTAAATCTGAATTTTACTTCAAAAACTTTTCTATGAAGATAGACTGACAGAGAATTTATTTCCAAAGTAACTAATAAAATCAGGTTTTTTTTCTCTGCCATTATTGAAACATTTCTATGATATTTAAGAATCAAATTGGATTTGGCAGTCATTTCTATCAATGGAATGATCATGTCTATATACTGCATTTTCAGCAGTGCTTCCAGCAGGACTCCATAGAGCTGACCTACTGCATGTTGGTGTGCATGTTTAGGCATTATTGTGAAGTTGCAGTTTAGTCATGAACCTGTTGGTGTGCATCCAGGATTTTTCCTGTATTCTTAGCTATTTAGATATGTTGTTTTTTTGTTTAATTTTTATCTTTGTCTTTACTAAGGGCATGAGAATTGCTCATTCAGAAAAGGAGTTTCTGGACCAACTGCAATCAGCAAGGAGAGAAGCAAAGAAGTCTTTCAATGATGATGCAATGCTGATTGAAAAATTTGTAGATAATCCAAGGTGAGAAAGGTGTCTTAATATAAACAGGGTAATGTTTATTTCACTGTTGAATGAACATAGGTGTTTTAATAATAGAAGTTGTAGTCTATAGCTCCTACCTGGCCTGTGACACTGAGCGTATTTTTACTTACTACGAGCTTTTGACAGAAGTATTTTAGTAATCTCGTACTTTACATCTTTCTTGAACCATCACTGTAAAGAAAGAGTTCATTAGGAAGAAGGCAGTGCCTTGCTTGTGCTGTCTGCTGGGCATGAGAAGATCTCATTAAATTCTTGGGAAGTTTGCCTAGCATTGGAGGACTGTCTGGATGGTGACAATTATCTGTTAATTTTGTACATAGAACAAAGCTCTACCTCCTGGTAGCTGTCTCTGAAATGGTGTGTTGAAGTAAATAAGGTTCTTGAGTCAGGACTGCTGAAGCCAGTGGCAGGATTGGTGCTTCAGTTTAATGCACTGTGACATTTGCTGTTGTGAAACAGGCATGTTGAAGTCCAAGTGTTTGGTGACCAGCATGGCAACGCTGTGTATTTGTTCGAAAGAGACTGCAGTGTGCAAAGAAGGCATCAGAAGATCATTGAAGAAGCACCGGGGGTGAGCAGAGTGCTCTTATGTTTTCTTTTTATATTTCTTTTCTTAATAAAACATTTTTAAAGCCATTGCTAATCCCATCTGTTCTATTTAAGGGGTGGAAATTAATTTCTAATTCTATTTACTTGTTTTAATTTTGCTGTAGAAAATGTTCAAAGTGGAAAAAAAAAATGATGTCTTTAGAAAAATGATTTCAAGAGAAAAATATTAATCAATGCTGTAAGTGAAATCTAAGGGTTATGCTGTGGTTTCTAAATCTTCATGCATAGGAGTTTAATATCACTGAAATTTGTAATCTTATGTATTTTATTATTATTTACAGCCAGGAATTAATCCTGAAGTTCGAAAGAGACTCGGAGAAGCTGCTGTGAAAGCAGCCAAGGCAGTGAATTATGTGGGAGCAGGTGAGTCTGAGTAAATCGACTGTGTTATGTGTCCATCCTGAGAGCATTTTGTAAAATGTCCTTTTCTTTAATACTTCAGGAACAGTGGAGTTTATTATGGACTCCCAGCAGAATTTTTACTTCATGGAGATGAATACCAGGCTGCAGGTGGAGCATCCTGTTACAGAGATGATCACTGGGACAGATTTGGTGGAATGGCAGCTTAGGGTAAGTGGTAATTGATTTTACATGCAGAGCCCCTGTTTGAGTACTCTGGTGAGTAGTGAGTGCCCTTTGATAGTGCCTGTGGGAGACCAGCTGTATGTTCAGGTGATTGTGTCGTACGCAGCCAATTGGGTGGAATTTTCTGCTTCATTTAGTTGTGGAGAGAAAAGTCATTTTCTCATGTATTTAATGAAATTATAGAGAATGTGAAAAGTAGGAGGACTGGGGTCCTGATTTTCTCCTAGCATTCTAACCAACTTCTTAAACTCTAGTTTAAATGTATTTCTGCCCCAAAAATCAGTCTTTGATCAGACTGCAGAAGGAAAACTCTACAAAAATATCTGATTTTTGCCAGTATGATCCTCCTAAAATAAATGTGTGGTTGTGTGGACTGGAAACAAGAGATTTCCTCACACATCTCACAGAGAGATTACTCGTGTGTTTGGACAGGAAGCTTTGGACCTTATGGAACTGGAAATTAGAAACCAATTTTATTTAGGTAAATCCAGAAGTCAGTTAAGTGAGTTCAAAAGAACAGCAGCATACATTAAGCCTAAGTAAGTAAGGTGGTGAAGTGTCTAACGTAAGCAGAAATTAAACCAAAATACCAAATGCTGCTGGAAAAAGGAGGAGCTTTTGGCTTGTAGGCCTAGGAATGGAAGCTGAGCATCAAGGACTGAGTGGTGTCCTGCTGTCCCTCCTGGAAGCTCTGGCTTGGTGACAGAAGGCAGAGTATAGAAAACCCTGAATAGTGAGAGATTAAATACTGCTCAGAGTTGTTAGGAAGAACTGGTATTTCCTGTGTGGATGGAGACTGTGGAGCTCCCTGCTAAAAGGTCTCCTATCTGCTCAGCTGCATCATGCTGCTTATTATTCTGTCCTTGACAGAGTTTTTTTAAGTCTCAAACTTCTGTGGTTTTTGTGTTTGTTGGCATTCCTGTATTTGTAATAAAAATGTCTTTGAGGAATAAAATGGACTTTTCTTGCCTATTGAAGATTATTAAATTACAAGGAATCTTTATAGAGAAAGAATCACTTAAATGTACAGATTCCTCAGTAGAGAGAGAATCAGCAGTGTGTGTCAGCAGCGCTGGCTGCTAATAATCCCTTTCAGCGTCTGCTGTTGGAGTCATTTTCTCTCTGATAAAATCTTGTCTTTGCTGATCAATCAACCTTCAACTTAAATGTTTAATTATTTTTTTTTGCAATAGGGGAAAATAAAATGATAACGTTTTCATCATGTTTTAGCTGTGTGAGGTCAATTTAACTAATAATGTAAAACACTTTGACTGGTGAATCTCAGAAAAAAGGAAAGAGTGATTTCAGAGTTTGCTACTTGTAATTTAACACTTTTTGTGTTGTTTTTTTGGTTTTTTTTAACACGCTTTCTAGTTGTTTGTGTTTGGAAGAGATAGACTTAACCTTTCACACATCAACAGAGAATTGATCCTGCATTAAAGAAGAAAAACTTTTTCAGGTTGCGGCAGGAGAGAAGATTCCACTAACGCAGGAAGAGATTCTGCTCCGAGGCCATGCCTTTGAAGCTAGAATATATGCTGAAGACCCTACCAATAACTTCCTGCCAGGGGCTGGGCCCTTGGTGCACTTATCCACCCCACCGCCTGATAGAGACACCCGCATAGAAACTGGGGTCAGACAAGGTACAGCTGAAGGCAGCGGTGAGATGGGAAATGTTTGATGTTCTATTTACTTCTTTATTCATCTCCATTCGAGCCATTGTAATTTTAATCCTACAAAAGCTTTGTGCTGAGATTTTCCTTGGCACTGAAAAGCCAGATCAGATCATTAAAGATAAATATTCTTTAAGAGCATACAGAAGCGTGGCCACAGCTTGTATCAGAGTTCACTGGCGTGTGTTGTGCTTTCAGGAAGTACATTCTTGAGTGTTACAGAACTTTCTTCATGTATTTTAGGTGATGAAGTTTCTGTTCATTACGATCCAATGATTGCAAAGTTAGTTGTGTGGGCTGAGGATCGTGAGGCAGCGCTGAGAAAGTTGCGGTACAGCCTGCGTCAGTATAATGTAAGTAAGAGGAACCCAGTGTGGTTCCCATGCTTGAACAAGGCTCTTGAACACCTTGAGCTAACAACGTACAGATACAATCACCTCTCCTTACTATTTCTGGAAAGTTTTCTTTGACTTTGCCCTGGACAAAGGTAATGTTTTGGAAGCAGAGTGTTTTTGAGAAATCTACACTTGTTTTTTTGTTTTTTAAGCATTGATTTCTTAGGTAATAAAACATACTAGTTGAATAAATTCAATTCTCAGAATTCATTGGTGCTGTTTTGTTGGTGCTGTGTAAAGACAGTTTCAATGCATAAGATGAGCAGAAAGCTGTGTATTCATTCATAAATTCATTTCACTTTGGCAATATGCTTCTTTTTTTTTTTTTAAACAGATTGTAGGATTAAGCACTAATATTGATTTCCTGCTGAGCCTGTCAGGACACCCACAGTTTGAGGCTGGAAACGTGCACACTAATTTCATTCCTCAATACCATGATGATCTGTTTCCAGCCAAAAAGGCAACCCCACTTGAAGTTGTGTGTCAGGCAGCTCTAGGACTCATACTGAACGAGAAAATGCTATCAGATGCCTTTAGAGATCAGTCAAGTGGTAAGGATCATTCTTCTTTTGCTTTATTTTACTTGTGACTGGATGAGACAGTGCTGTGAGCATGTGTGATTATTTTGTGTAGTCTCTTTTTGCCTTATTTAATGGCTGCTCAGTGTTCTGAGCATGATAGCATTTATCAGTTACTTACGCACACAGCAGACTGCGGCTTTGGATAAGAGAGAGATATTGAATATATCACACTATGAAGTACAGACTACTTTCCTAAGCACTCCAGATAGAGCCTGTCTGAAAGACCTTGGGGTTCTCAATCTGTGTCACTGTGTGTCCTTTTTGTTCTTTAAGCACACAGGCTCTGATTATCTCATTGTTGGTTCTACAGTTGGTTCAAGGTCTTCAGAGGTGGACTGACTGGCTGGGACTGGGGAGGGCAGTAGAGTTGAATGGAATGAACAGGACTCTGGGAGCCAAAAACTCATGAGTTCTGATGCTGTTAATGCCTTTACCACTGGCACATGTGATTACTGTTAAAAACTTGGTATAAATCTAATGTATGCTGCCAACTACCTCATTCCTGGAATATTTTGGAAGTGCAGAAGGTTGGGATTCTTGCTTTAGGAGAGGAGGAACTCATCAGGCAGCATTTAATAGTGGTGTATCCGATCAATTCTTAAAAACACCAAGTAACTGAAAGTCCCTCAGACTTTCCAGGCAATCCTCTACCGTGAGTTCAAACTCTTACAGTAAAACCTTTGGCTGAAATTTAATCTAGCCATAGAATACTGATGCTTTCTTGTCTTCTTCAAGGATGTGGTCATGGAGAACAGTCAATATTCTTCCTGTTAGCAAGTGCTGTTAGTGTCTTGTTTTTTGTAGGTTACACAGCCTCAGTTATTTCTTCTTGAAGTTTGAGTTTGGGATTGTCTCCAACCTTTTATGTGCAAAATAAATGTGTAAGTGTAATGGTAGTAATAATAGGAGTCTTTTTTTTTTTTTAAATGGTTTAAGTTTTAAATGTTGTGTGTTTTGCCAAACTAACTGAAGTAACATGTCTGTATATTTTGTATTTTAGATAAATTCTCACCATTTGCATCCAGCGCTGGTAGAAGAATAAATATATTATATACTAGAAAACTATCTCTACTGGATGGAGAAAACAGTAAGTGAATAAAAAAGCATGAATGAAGGAAGAGGAGATAGTTGATGGATCAAGTTATTTCAGTTGGTACTTGAATACTCAGGTTAAGAAATAGCAAACACTAGCAGTATCAGTTCTAAGCTATTGATGCTGGAAAGGCAATTCATAAGGTGGCAGGTTTAATTATTAAATGCATGCTCTTAGATCTGGAAGAGATATAAACTAAGTTCAAATGACAGTAGTAATGTTTGTTATTTAAATGAATAAGGGTGAGATTTTGAAAGAGCTTTTGGCTTTTGTTTGGCCTCACGTTGCTGTGATAGCATTCAGCACTTGTTTCCCATAATAAAATCTGTGCTCTGCCCAGGTAACTTGAAATGCAGATTCCCAGAGCATGACTTCAGTTCTGCTAAGCTAATCTGAAAATACTTTTTTTTTTTAGGTCTTTTTTTGGTCTCTTTATAAATCAAAACTGTAGACTGCATATTGCTTATTTGTTATTATTCTTTGGGTCTTATTATTAAATCTACCTACTCATGTGTTTTGTTTTATTGAGCAGTTGTGGATGTTGCTGTAACTTACAATCGAGAAGGGTCATACAACATGCAGGTACAACTAGACTTTGTTCACATATTTCATTAAATAAACATAGAATGAATTTCTCATAGGCTTCTATTCATACCAACTTTTAAAGTACATAGCTCCTACAGAATACAACTCCAGATACATAAACTTGTTTCTTAAGTGGTTGTCTCTAAAGTAGTGAGAAAATTATTGCACTACTGTGTGTATATGCATGTGTCAGTAACTCTTCATTTTTTTTTTTTTTGAGGATAGGACTATTGAGATAACCCTCATTGCTCAAACAATTCTCAGAGTATTTTGAGTGTATTGGTTACTGATAATGTAAGAGAGTTCTTAGAATTTACGTCTACCCATATAAGTAATGTCAGCAAAATCTAAAGAGAGGCTGGAAGGAATGTTGAGTCAGGGGTGATGAAATGCAGCTGGGGAGAATGTAGGCTGCTGAGAAGAAGGGAAGAATGGGGATTGAGGTGGAAATGGAGAGAATCTGGAGTTATGGGGTGGAGCAGCAGAGCTGTGTGCCTTGGGAGCCGATGATGAAGAGGACAGTGCTGTGGGAGTGCTACAAATTGAATGCAGCACGCCTGTGTTCACATTCATATCTTCACATTCTGAAGCTGTGGCACAGATCACATCACTAAACAGAGTAGTCTTCTTTTTTTATTTTTGTTCTACACACCCTTATAATTTTACTGAGTGCTGTTGCATGGCTTATGATAAAAACTGTCCTAGCAGGGATGTATCAGTTAATCTGAGCTGTCCACATTGGATACATAATACCTATAATACCTTACATCAATTGAAAAATACAGGATACATACCAGATTTATGAAAATGACTTTAAAAAAATATCCAGAATTTATCTGTGAAGAATCACAGCTTATGACTGTATACCAGAAATACTAACTTCTGCTTTATTATTTTAGTGCTCCTGAAGGGTTATGTTTTGTCCTTATAGAAGCATTTAACTTTCAGATTCAAGACAAAATGTTCCTGGTTTCTGGAGAGATCTTCAATGAGGGCGATTCAGTTTACCTGAGGTCTTCAGTTAATGGAACAATGTGCAAGTCCAAACTGGTCATTTTGGACAACACCATTCATCTCTTCTCTCTGGTAAAGTTCTTCTGGTTATCATCAAAAGTTTCAAGTCTTGTCCATGTGGATAAGCAACGTAAGTTGCAACAGAACGTGGAACAGAATCATAATTTAAATTTTTATATCATCCCCACTGTTTTGATACTTGCTGGATTTAGAGCTGCAATTAGAAGTTGGTTCTGAATGGGTAGATCAAGTAGCTGCAGAAAGATAAAATGTGATTAGGGGAATCGAGGGAGCTGTAAATGATGGTTTGGGGAGGGGAGGGACCTGTAATATTGAAGTGGTTCAGTATCTTATCTTGCACAGAACGGGAACGGTTGCTTCAAACTGTTACTTACTTTGTAACTCTGATAATTTTATATTTTCATTTTAAAATAAAATGATAACAAATAAATCAGGATTGATCTGAGGAAGGATAATTTCAGCCAATATTTAAAAAAAAAAAAAGAGGAATGAAGATTTACCAGGACATTATATACACTGTGTGAGTAATGGCATTATTTTGGTCTGTGAAACACTCACCATATTGACAGTGCTTGCCAATGAAGATGGCAGTGTCTTAGCAGCTTACCTCCCCCTTCTGCAAACAGCCTTTACTAATATTCTAGCACTTTCTATGCTGTTGCAGTGTAAATGGGGAAGGTGTGGATGTGGGGCAAAGGTCTGTGTGGAGCCTCATTTTTCACAGGCACAGTTCCTTCTTTTCTGGTCCCTCCGCAGCAGCAGACACAGCTCTTAAGGACTTCAGCATTGCAAAGCAGCTGGTGTGCCCACAGTCCTTTTGCTCTAGCCCCAGTGGTCTACAAGCTGAAACAGCTGCATTTACTTTTCATGAAGCTAGGTCTGTCCTGGCCCATGTCAGCACACGTACTAATGCTATTATTTTACTGTTAACTCTTGCTGTTGGTTTTATTTTCTGTAGGAAGGCAGTGCTCAGATTGGCCTTCCTGTACCCAAGTACTTATCTGCAGTGAGCTCAGCAGGGACACAGGGTGGTGCCGTAGCTCCCATGACGGGCACTGTTGAGAAGGTGAGTATAATAACAGGAGTGGGAAAACGAAGTCTGCAGAATGATATCAAAATTCAGTCTTCCAGGCGCAGTGTTTGATTCTGTACTACCAGGAAAGAATTAGGACCAAAAATGTCATCGCTGCACAACTCCTCCCAGTTTCCAATTTTCTAAAAGTCCTGTTTAGTTTTGATTTTCCTGTAGCAGCCCAAGATTGTTTTCAGACTTCTGGGATCTTTCAAGAGGTCAGGAAGGTATGAATACATAACTAATCTTACTCTTTGAATATTTTTTTCTGTCACCTCTATTGCTTTCTAAGCCGAAGTTCCTTGAAGCGTTACAGGCTGTTTGACCCATTTCATGTGAGCAAAGAATGTGATGAGACATTCCTGGAGAAATAAAAAAAAAAAACATTCAGTAATGTCTCTTTTGTTTAGTTCTAGTTTTTACTGCTTCTGTTTTTCTGTTGTTTTTTTTTTCCTTTAGCTCAGCAAATTGTATTTTTGTGCGATGGAGAAGCTTCATCATAACAGAGGTCTTCAAGATAATTTTAGTAGTTAGAGGAATGAACCCTGAAAGGGCAGGAGCTGTTTCGGAGGATGGAGTATACTGACTGTGGATCTCTTACATTCTTGAGTGATACTCCAGAATCCTAGAATATCCTGGGCTATAAGGGGACCCGCATGGGTTGTGGAGTCCAACTCTTGGCTTCACACAGGACAACGTGAACATTAAACCGTATGTTATGGGCAATGTCCACTTACTTCCTGAACCCCACCAGGCTTGGTGCTGTGAGCACTGCCTGAAGTTCAAGAAGTGCTCTGAATCAGGGCTGTGGAAGGATTGGTGGCTGCTGAAATCTCTCTGGACTTTATTTTTAGAAGAAACTTAATGGCTTGCTCCAGGAAGAGGTTCTGGACTTCATGTCTCAAAATAGAAGCTTTTAAAACCCAGATGGGGCAGAATACATTTTCTCTTCAAGTGTTTCCTCTTTGACACATAAATGACTTCCCAGTCAACCTGTTGACTGTTATCAGACCTCTTTGTAAAACCTTTGACTCCCCTTGAGTATTGTATAAGGAACTCGAATACCCAATTTGGCAACGATAAAGATATTATGAGGCTGTTCTGTAAATCCACTACTAAGTGGATTGTCCCAGCCAACATCTATCTCATGTATTTCAATGGCACAGACATGCGTGACTTTTTTTTTTTTTTCAACATTTGAATTGTAGGTGTTTGTGAAAGCAGGCGATAAGGTTGAGATTGGAGACCCTCTAATGGTTATGATAGCCATGAAAATGGAGGTGAGTGACTTTTTATATAAAGTTCTAGTTGCTGAGAAAATAAAAACTATGGTCATGCTTGTATCAGCTTTGATTGCATTAATGAAGAGTGGTGCAGATTGTTGCTTGCAGATGTTGTTATTGTTTTATATGCTGTATAACAAGCGTTGTGTCTGTTGAGCTTTTAGGGGATTACATTCGTTGTTATTAATAACAAATGATGATGATGTAATCCCTGGCACTCTGCAGATGTGTTAACATTCATCTGGTTCCCTTGTCAATCCTTCATTCCCCTCCCTGAGAAGCAATGATCCTTTCATTTTTCTAGTACAGACCTGTCTAGGAATATTTCTTGCTCTCCGTGATTCTGATGTCTGTAGTTACTTTGTGCAGAAATTCAGCTCATGGTGACTGCAAATGTGCCCAGGACAATTCTGTTGGACAATTTTATAATAATTTACACAAAAGTTTTACCAACAGCACACTAAAAATTATTTTAGTTGTCCACATGGCCATTGTCTGTTGTCACATTGCTTGGCCATGGCTCAAGTTGCTTGAACTATGGTCCTTGTAGCCTGAACTGTTCAGGTTTGGGTTTATTAGTTTATTTTACACTTTAGTTTGAGGTAGCAGAATTAATATTGTTGAGAAAACTCCCTTTTTCCTTACAGCACCTTTTAAAAATTACTCTAAAATAACATGGAATACAACATCTCTGCACACTGAGAAAATAACCCCATTTACAGTCGAATGCCAAACGTTTGTGTCTCTCCAGCTGACATCTCAGACCACTGGCTGGGCTGTTCTCCTTGCAGAGTGTGAAACTGCAAAAACGTTATTTAAATGAATCCTTGCTTAATGTGCTTTTGAATGTTAGGCTCATCCTATGTAGGAAACTGCTAAAATCAGAGCTTGAAAGGAAAGCTAACAGGTAGACCAGTGTGAGGATCAGGATTGCACATACTGTTCCTTCACTGTCACTATCAGCTGTGTTCATATTTCTCTGTCTGTAGTAAATCTGCAGATTCCTATTAGGGGAACAAATCTGTTATGTGATTAATATTGTAGACTAAAGCTGCATTATTTCTGCCTGCTAACTAATGTAACAGAGAAAATATTATGAAGCAAAATACCTTTCAGCTGTTTGTACTGCAGAATACGTTATTACAGCATTTCTGTCCCTAGCACACTTACCAAAATAAATGCTGATGAGGAAATAAAACTTGAAAAAGGGCTAGGGTAACATTTTAGAATACGGCTTAAAATGAATACAGAAGTGTTGAGGAAATAAGTTGGTTGTGTTCTAATTGCACCAGAGAGTAATGTTAGTGTTTGCTGGAGAGAGAGGGGGAAAGCAGGCAGCCCTTGTGCTGATTCACTGTTGGTCTGTTTCTACGCAGCATACCATCAGGGCTCCAAAGGCAGGAGTGATTAAAAAGGTGAATTTTCAAGAAGGTGCCCAGGCCAACAGACATGCTCCACTGGTGGAATTCATGGATGAAGCAGCTGAACCAAAATAAAACTCAGGGAAGGTGCATTTTATTTTTTCTACTTCTCTGATGCTCTCTCAGGAGGTTTCTTCACCTTTTTATCAAAGTGTTTTGTGTCACGGATTGTGGAATTGGTTTCCTCTGCACACACTCCGTTGGCTGCCAATTATTCTGACTGAACATCACTGTGCTGTAATTGTGTATATAACTTGTGGACCTATGTGGTTGTTGTTCAATGACTGTGTTTGCCTGTGGAAAGACCTCAGAGTGGGAAGAAACAGGTTTCCCTTAAAGGAAGGAGAGGTGAGTAAGGGCCACTGAGAGCGAAGGGTCTTCTGCCTACTTTGTCATTCAGAGATGCCTTTTTTCCCTGAGATGTGAGAGCACTGACATGAAGGAAACCTGGAAGGTTGTAATAATTTCATGAATTAATTTCTCATGCAGAATTCCTGCGTATGGCCTTATCTTTTTGCCTCGGCAGGGAATTCAGGACTGTTCATAGCCCAGGATCCCTCTGTCTTTTTAGGTGCATCTGTTTTCCCATTTACCTCAAGGCATAGTGGTAACTTGCATTTCAAATATTATTTTAATATACTTTGAGATACCTGATAAAAAGCATTTTAAGAATACATGGTGTGATTTGCTACACTAATCAAAGTTGGAATGTGACTGCTTTCCAAAAACAGCATTTGATCTTTAAAGATGAAGAAGTAGCACTGAGAGGTGATAAGCTTTTTTAATACTTGGAAAGTGTGCCAAAATAAAATATCAACTTCAAGATCCTCATTCCTTTTCTCATATTGTTGATGTTCCAAAGTGGTATTTATTAGCTGGAGTGTGAAGTACCAAGGTCTTTATAACAACATGAAACATGACTAGGAAAAATATTCTTTTTTGCATTTGTTGTGTTGTAAAAAGGAAAATTTGTAGGCTTTTTTAATTTGTAAAGCAAACATTTCTCAGACAGCATGCAAATAATTTACCAAATATTTTCTTGTTTCAAGGAACAGCTCAAAGATACAGGAACAGAAGAAAGTGTTTTAATTGTGACAGAATTAGAAAATCTTCTCACATTTTGGTTAAGGTGAAATTGTGCTGGTCATATGGACTTCTGATACGTTGCTTTTGGATGATAGTAGAGTTGATGCTGCACGAAGGAATAGATACAAATGCTGCAGTGATCCCAAATCTGTAGTTAGATCTGTGCAAGTGGATCCTTGTGCTGATGTGAAATCCTATTTCATAGTCAAGATACCGTGTCTGGGGGAATTTTCTGCTCAGATCCCATACCTGGCAGCCTTGCCTGCAATGCAGGCAAAAACTGTAGAAATGAAATGGGTCGAGGTGGTCTGTATATTAAAAACATTGAGCACTGCTTTTCAGTATCCCTGTTAATCCAATGACATCTAACAAAAAAATAAAATTCAGTGATCATCTTGTAGAGTATTGCCACAGTGATTTTTATTCACCACTAAATAAAAATTAAGCTTAACTTGGACTGTTTGTTTTAGTTTTTCCCCATTTTGTTCTTTCTTTGATTGTTTATGTACAAATGTTGATGTAAGGGGTTTTAATCAGCTATATGTGTATCATCTGATATCTGAGACACTGCAACCCACAGATTACATTTAGGAAGCAGTAATCTGAATGGTCACAATGGGCTCCACTACAGGTAAGTTGAGTGATTTGTTTTTATATAAAAATTGTGTCTGCATACAGAAATGGAAACTTAGGCCTGAAGGGGTGCTACAGATTTGCTTTTTTTTTTTCTGCTTGACATTACTCCATTTGTAGATCTGTTTTACTGTGCTGAATCTAAAGCAAAACTCACAGCGTGATGTTCTGTGTCCACACAGCCTGCAGTGCTTGCTTTTCCCAGCCAATGGACAACAGCATGTTCTTAGGAACCCTTGCTTCTGAAAATTAGCTATTAAGTTTTCTACAATCTGGGTTTCACTGAATTTTGTTTTTTCGAACAGTGATGGTTTGGTTTATTTTGGGATTTAGAAATCTATTAGAAAATCTCTTGCTGAAGTCACTGTCAGAATTTGTACACTTGAAATAGCTGCTGCAATGCAGCTCTAATTTATCTTAGAGAATTATTAAAAGCAGATTATTCCTCCAATCTAGAATGTTAAGATGAAGTATTCATGACGAATGTGAACTCTGGAACATTTTCTTGTGTTTTTGATGTGAATGAGCAAGAGCCATATGATGGTAACATCGATGTAATGACCTGTTGTCTGTGGAACGAGTGATGGTTGAAAAAGGAAGAAAATTATTCTTGTTGGTCAGCAAGCTTCTTGTTCTTATTAAGCACGTAACCTCCTGCTTTGTAATGTGAATGTTAACCATACCAAAGTTACAGCCCTCCTAAGCTGTAGTTGGCACCAGCACGGATCTCTCAGTCAGCTTTGCTCTCACACTCAGCTGCTGTCAACCATTATTGCTCTGATAGCTTAAAGCCAGCATAGGTCTGGACTGCTGGGCCTCAGCTCATGCTGAATTAGTAATGAGCAAAGCAGGAGAGCAGGTCTGTGTTCTTATTTCAGCCCCTGACTCACCGTGACTGCAGGCAAACCACTTAGTGCACATTTGCCTTTGTTTCCTCCTGTGTAATGAGGATGACAGTAATTAAAATGCTGTAAAATTTGTGGACACAAAGACTTATAAATAATTTTCCACACTTGCTTGTAAAGTTGCAATGTAAGATTTAGAGTTTGAGATTATAACCTTGCAAGTAATAATATATTTTATAGATATTTTTGCCATAAATTTTAAAAATAGTTTCCAGCGTGCACTTACTTCTTTATTCTATGGTTTTAACTTGTAGTGACCAGGAAACCTTAGGGTCTGCTTTCAAGATGAGTAGAAAATGAATACTGAAGTGTTTGGCAGGACCTCTAACAGTCAGCAGGAAGCAAGAAAGTTGATCTCAGCAGTGTATTCTTGTATTGAAACAACTTACTCCCTTTTTAAAGGACACTTCGACTAATGGTTATCACAGGTATATTCACTTCTACCAGCTGTTATTTTGTTCAGTCAGATCAGGAAATATTGACTGTACTCTATCTGTTCTGTTTGTAAAAAGCTCAGCAGTGCTGAATGTACTGTGTGTACTGCAATGGTCAGTGGCAATGGAGTAAAGCCTGACACAGAGCTTTTACACAAGGTATGTTTTCAGCAGATAGTTGTAGAGTTATATTCCGAATTTTTACACGTGAAGGATTCACAAGTAAATATCACTTAATATTTTATGGTACCAGGGGAGAACATCCTGTATCAGAATTCTGTTTTGGAAAGTAATGGACACCGAGTGTTGTCCTAGAGAAAATGGAAGAAGTTGAATTAATTCTGGTGTGCATCACTGCCCCTAAACAAACCCAATATTGTAAAAACTCGTTAACATTACTGCAAAGCCATAATGCAAAACAAACAAAAACCCACAAAAGAAACATTTATTATGTGGACTGGCCATATTTCATGAAATAGAATTTGGGTTCTAAAAGCAGTGCAGTATCTTCTAAGAGATGTTTGATGTTAGCTTAAAAACTATTGATTATACACTGAATCCACTTTAAAATTAGCACGGATGTTCACGGATGTTAGCACGGTTGGATACCCCCTATTTTTTTATTACAGAAGTAATAAGTAAGTAAAACACGTGTCTAGTGTCCTACTGAGCTTTTGATAGTGATAGCTGGATTTTAGTTTTAATCTGTAATTTTTAATCTCCATATAAACAGTTCTGGTGCCGAAATGATAGTTGGTCTCTGAATGGCAGCTACTCTCTTTTGAAAAGCTGGGAAAGTGGGGATGTTAATGTTTATAGTCTGGGAAAAAAGGCTGCAGCTGAGAACTGCATCTCTCTTGTGCCCTCTCTTGTGAAAAGGGAAGACAACATAGCTGTAGCTGGAGACCCTGTGCATGTTTGGTGTCTTGTGCTGAGCACCCTGGGAGCCTAAGACATGGGTCAGACAACAGAGATCTAAGATGAGGTATAACATGAACTAGAAAGAGAACAATTTGTAAGTTGAACCTTTGTATACAGATGTGTCAGTGTATGTTTTCCTTGAAGTTTGCACTGCTGTACTGACGTTGGTAGCTAGTGACAGGAAAGTAGGTCACAATTTGCTACTTAGACACCAGAAAATTAGTTTTGCCTGGATTGTATAGACATCTTCCCCAAAACCAGTGTGCCATGATGACAGGGTGAACAGTGGAAAAGGCTAAATATGTGTGACAGGAGGTAAGAGCCATCTTCTACACTTGCTTTGTATGTCTGTGTTACTCTTGCAGACAGCTTACTTCGAGGCAAAAGGCTCAGTCTGCCATGTATAAACTTTAATTATTGTTTCTTATATGAAGAGCACAATGCGTGCCCTGAATTAGAATTATTTTTTTTTATTAAGATGAACAATTGAAGGTGATACTTGCAGAAAATCCCTGTGATAGAGAAATCAATAATATATCTTATTCTCCTGGTTTCGAAATCCCCCATGTGTAGCAAGGATGGCAGGCTATTGACAGTTAAAAGGTACAGGTTTTAATCATTAAAATCATAGCTGTCATGGCACTGTCTGCTTTAGAACTTGGAGAACTTCAGCTCATTCTGCTTACAGAGATCATATCTTGTTGTTTCAGAACTTCTGAAACGAGACAATGTCTGTACCTCTTACTGCTTTCTCATTTCTTAGATACTTAGATATTCTAAGATCTACTTACATATTCTAAAATCAAGGCAGTTTATCTCAGTGTTACTATGGAGTTGCACAAAACACAGAGGTCTTGCAGTCTGTTGCCTGTTAGGTGTGCTGTGAAGTTGTAGTTGATGCAGCACGCATGAGCAATGTTCAGACAGTCTAGTATCTGTTCTGGGCTCACTAACGTGACTTGTCTTCCTTTGCCACATAAACCTGTCCTGCTTCTTTCCAGAGACAGTCAAGTGGAACCCAGCTCCTAACAGTGCCTTGGACTATGTGTAATAACTTGTTAACCTCTTACATAATGCAGGAAGGATGAAAAACTTAATAGAAGGTGAACACCCTTCCCTGTGACCTATTACAACAATCTGCAGATATTGGCTCTATGCCAGTTTCCAGGTTAAATTGCTTAGACACCTATGGGAGGATTCAGGCTTTATTTTGTGTTGTCTTGTTTTCTTTATATACATATTATATACATATTTATATATAGGATAGTATATCAATCCCAAATGTATCTGTTGAACAGTCTGCTGAGATATCCTTTGGATATTCTTGGGATAGCAGTGAATCTCCTTGTGCAAGGTAGTTTGTGGGACTTTGTTCTCTTGGTTAAACATGGTTGGTATTTGCAGGAAAAGGGCCATAGTCATAGCTTGAAGACTATTCCACCAGTGTAAGAATTGGTGGTTTCACTTTCTAGAGCATAAAGTAGCTGAGAAGAATTGGGGGGGGGGGAAGGGGTTAGAAGGACATTTCTAGGCCAGGCTGTTCCAGTGCTTTTTTATCCTTCATGAACCTTTGGGCTTATTCTTTAGAGAGTGCTGTAAGTGGAAGTTCTCAGCAAAGGGATTACACTAAATGGTTCTGCTTTGACTTAACATGAGAATTACTTCTCTGTCTGCTCAAGAAGACGGTTCACATCAGTCAGTGTAAAACAGAACAGTGTTACATTCAGAATTCTGCATTAGCCAAGCACAGTGAGATTTAAAAAAAACAAAACCAACAGAACAGTTGTCTTTCGTGTTCATATGAGATAAAACATCATTGAATTACTACAAAATAGAGTCAGCTTTACCTTGCTATGAATTAGACAAGTCACCGTGTTAGTGTGGTCACTGATTGTGCTGCCTGCAGATTACACAGTCAATATTTATTATTATTATTATTCTGTATCACTGAATGCTTACGTCATGATTACAGGCAGCAGAGTTGTTTATCCCTGCCCTAACTTCCTGTGCCATGTTGGATGGAGCTGTACTAAAGTAGGGTATGTAACAACCCTGGTTTAGACAACATGTCCTGAATACATACAAATACTCCTTGTGGTGCCTCTTCTTTTACAAAGCATTGAAGTTTCAGAGGAAAAAAAGAGATGTATCATTTCCCCCAAAGGAAAAAAAAAACCCAAACAAACACAAAAAACAACCCCAACCAGACACCAGGAGATCCTGCAACAATGAAAACCAGCAAGAGTAATAATAGATGCTCAAGAAAAACAAGGCAGATAGAAATCCCATCTCTGTGTGGAGGAACCCACCGCAATCACAGCTCATCTCTCAGATTCCTGTTACACACTGCAGTAACTCTCCAGAAGATCTAACCTCTTCGGGTTGCGGGAGGGCTGTCACAGCATGTTACACAGCATGATGGCAATTAGCTAACTCCTGAAACACCTTTGTTTCTCCAGCTGCACTTGATGTGATCTTGACGGGTGTGGTGACTTGTTTGTACTGGCCACTTTGTAGCCATTCTTGCTTTTAAAAATAAGTTTTTCAGAAGGATTTAAGATACCCAGGCAACTGTTGTCTCTGTGGTTAGCTGAATTCACACAGTTCGTATCTCTATTATCATTTCAATCCTTAGTTTTACCGTTTCAGACCATAGGATGTCCCAGGACAGGCCTGCTTCTCCGAATACTACTTTCACTCCTCATTAATGAATGAAATACATGAAAAGTGATTTGCTGGACATGAAGCCTATAAGGAATAGAACAAGATTTCCTAGGGGAAAAAAAAAACAACCAACCCAGCACTCCCTACCAATATAGGGGATACTGAAACAAGCTGATTTAAGCCTTGCACCTGCTTTTGCTCCTACACCTGTGCTGCTGCAGAAGCAGCTGAGCCCTCACAGCCAGCACTGTGCAGCAGTATGCAGCAGCCCCAGCTTCTTGCAGAGGGCTCTTGCACGAGGAGAAGCGATGGATTACGGCCGTTTCTAACACCTGTGACTCCGCTGCCCCGAGACGTCGCCTTCCCCACGTGCGGGTGAGATCGCCGCGCGTCTACCAACGAGAGCTCGTTGAAGACGCCGCTCGCATTGGGCTGCATTTCCTATCTCAGCTCTTCTTACATTTAAAGCGCACACGGTGAGGGCTACCGCGGGGCACGGCCACGAGCAGAAGGAAGAGGCGCCGATACCGGAGAGACATCGCGGCGTACTTTAATTCTGCTGTTAAGCAAACCCGGAGCTTCCCCTCGGGAGAACGGCCGCGCGGGAAGCCCGGCCCGCCGCAGCCCCGGGGCTCTCTGCTCCCTTTTCCGCCATCCCCGGGGCGGCTCCCGCCTCTCGGCCGCCTGCGGAACCCCCCCCCCCCCGCCTCTCCCCGGGCCGTCTCTGCTCTCCGCCCCGTCCCGGCATCCCCGAAGCGGCCCGGCCGCTTGCCGCAGCGCCGGCCCCGGGCACGGGGGATGCGGCGCACTGCGCATGAGCGCGAGGCGGCGGAAGGGCCCGCGAGGAGCCGGAGCCGCCGCCGCCGGAGGAAGACGTTGACCGCCGCCGCCGCCCTCAGCGCCCTCCCGAACGGCGAGGGAAGCAGCCCCGCACAGCCCTCACCATGGTGAGTGTCCTCCGAGCCCGCCTCTCGGCTCGGGGCCGGCGGACCGCGGCTGCGCCGCAGCGGTAGGGGCCGCCGGGGCCTGGTCGTGGCGGGCCGGCCGGCCGCCCGGGAGCCGCGCGGGGCCGGGCTGGGCCGCCCTCGGCGGGACCGCGGAGGGGAGGCGGGAGGCCGGTACCGGGGGGCGGCCCGCGAGGTCCTCCGGGCCTCGGCTCGACCCGGGGCGGCTCGCCCGCGCTTTTCGGGCCGGGTCCGGCGCCTTCCTGCGGGCGGAGGGCCGCGGGAATGCCGGGCGGCGGCTCGGGCCGGGCGCGGGGAGCGGAGCGGGCCGGCGGGGACGGGACGAGCGGGGCTCCGCCAGGAGCGGGGCGGCGAGAGGCGCGCGGCGCGGTGGGAGCGCGGCTGTGCCGAGCCGGGGCGCGTTGCGGACTTTGGGGCTGCCCGCTTTGTGCGGCTCCCGCTCGTGTGAGCGCCCCGAGCGAGCACCGACCTATCCCGCATTTTCTCCGCATTGTTTTTCTCCTGATAGCTCGGGGTTTGCTGCAGGCTCACGCGCGGACTGACTTTGTCCCTTCCGCTCTGGAGGGAAACTGCAGCGATTGGAACAAAAATCGTCGATTTGTTTGCTTAAAGTAGAGATGATGATGTTCCCTATCCTTAAGTAAGAAGGCCTGCGGGTCTGCATTGGTTCTCGCGTGCAGTGCAGTCCCCCAAGAGAAGACATTATGGCCGTGCTTTAAGGCCGTTTGTGTGTACAGAGGTTGTACGGCTTTAGCTGCATCTGCACGGCTGGAGCACTGCAACTTATCTCCTTGTAGATATTGGAGCTGCGTTGTCTTAGGGAAGAGAGGGGAGAAGCTCTGGGCACATTTATTGGTACTTACTGGCACAAGGGCACCTGATGCTGCAGTTTGTATTTTCCTGTTTTAAAAGCAAATTAGAAAAAATGAAAAATAAAAGGGACTCCGCTAGCTGTTGGAGTTCTCTTGGCATAAAAACTTGGTTGACCAGGATTTAAATTAGTGGTGTGGTACATAGACCTCTAATAAACTTGTCGCTGTGTTACCAGTATAACTTCTAATTGGAAGTTTTATCTAGATTTTTTTTTTTTAATGGGAACTTGGAACTGAAGTTTGGTTGAAGTTCAGTCTGTAAAGGTGTCCTGTGGTAGTTCTGCAGTTCCTGGGACTGTCTCAAATAACACTTATCTGGTGATGTTACACTACTTTCATAAAGACTTTTTTTCCCCTAAAAATCTTATAGAGCTGACGGCATTACCCAGTGTAGGCATGCAGAATGTATGCACAGGATTCCAGCTGGGTATTCATTTATTCTTGGTTGGCTGTGTGGTTAGAAATTGAACAATGCTGTTGTAAGTGGCAAAGTTACAGAAACATTATGGCAATATAATAACAGGCCTGTTCTGCTGAAGAACATATTTTCATGAGAAATAGTGAGAAGTTCTGTCTGTGTAGCCTTGGAAGTGCCTACTTGAAGCAGCAGCAGGAATACTCCTCCCATCAGACATCCCCTGTCTGTTTGGTGTTGTTCTGCAGCGTGTAGCTGAGCACTACAGTTGTGGCCCCAAGCACAGCTGTTGGGCATTGCAAACAGGTACGCCTCGTGCTGTGCTTGTTGACTCCAGCCAGGTGAAAGGGTGACCTGCACACTGCAATGGGGTTAAATGACAGGCAGCAGCTTTTGTAAGTTGCAAATAGAGGTGCAGATTGAGTCTGGTGCCCAGGTGTAGGGCTCTGCACCTACACTTGATAGCTACAGGAAAAGCATGGAGACTTCTTCTCAGACATCTGAAACCTTTCCCAAAAGCACAAGGTGTAACATCCCAGTTTACCACCACTGTGCGCTGCTGCTCCGGCTTGTCTGTCCAGTGGCTCAGTGTGGTTTCTGGGGCTGGGCTGCTCATCCAACACAGCCCCCTCTGCAGCACGGCTCCCTGTGACTTCTGCTCATCTGGCAGCACTGCCTCGGGTGCTCCTGGCCCTGAGCCTTGCTGGTGTGCTGCAGCCACTGCTTTTAGGGCAGAAGTTTTGTGGCATCGTGGTGTCTTTGTCCACTAGGTGGAAGAGAGCCCTCATGGCAGCCTGGTAGTTAACTTCAGAAGAGGTGTTCAGCTGTGTGGCAGTCGGGTGTGCTGCCCCAGCTGTGGCTGTGAGCAATCTGCCTCCATTTAAATTTGAGCTGGGCACCACCTGTGGTGGCAGTGGTCTCCTTTTATTACTGCTTCAGTTCACGGGTCACAAGCAAAGAGCTGTACATCAGGACAGGGCTGCTAGCAGCAAGTGGATCTGTTGTGCTCTCCATCTTCCTTAAGGAGAGCTGCTAACATTGCTATTCTGAATGTTTGAATGTGTTTAGAGCTGTGTATGATACACAAGGTAAGCACGTCAGTGTCTGTATGTCTATCTGGAGGCAGGCACTAGCCTTAACTCTGTTTATAGTATCTTTTGTACGGTCCAGTTTGTCCTCTCTGAAGAATAGTTCTGTGCTGATGAATACATAATTTGTTAAATACTTATTTTTCATTATGAACTTCAGGTGACAGGAAGTCAAAGCTCTTGTAATACCAAATTTTAAACATCTGACGTTGTCTCCTATAATGTTGTTGTACTTCATCACATTGTTATGCAGTGTCTAACTCGGTGAGCTGTTCAGCTGGGCTCTTTTTTATGGTATATATTCATGTCTATGGCAGTTTGTTGGTATGAAACGTTGCCTTTTGGTTCTGTAGTGAAGCTCGTGGATTCTTGGCACTGTGTGTAGGACTGAGCAGCAGACAAGATGGTGCATGAGCTTGTTTCCTCTCCCAGCTCACGGAGAACCCTTTGAACTTAGGTGTAGGTTCTCTTCTAACGAGAGCCATGGAAATATTACAGGGGAATACGGACTGCTCTGAGAGCAAGGTGTGAAATTCATTACGTAGCTCTTGATATTTAACTCATGTTTTGTGGTACTAGTGCAAATAGAAGGTATGAAAGTAGCTTCTGGTGGCTGAACAGAGCTTCTAACCTGGTCAGGGGTTAAGAATGCTGAACAGCTGACAGCTGTATTTTGTGCCTTTTTTTTTCCTCTTCAGAATAGCATTGGAAAAGCCCTGATTTGGGGTGTTTCCTTTACCTTTAGGTTATCTGAGGGTAACAGAGCCCTGGGACAGGCTGCCCTGAGGTCTTCTCTGGAGGCATTCAAAACCTGCCTGGACGTGATCCTGTGTGACCTCATCCAGGTGTTTGTGCTCTGGCAGGGCAATTGGCTGAGGGGATCTTCTGAGGTCCCTTCCAATCGTTCTGTGATCATGAATTACCTTAAAGCACTACCGTAAGTGCTGTGTGCTTCTGGATAGCTCTGTGTTGCTCTTCTGTTTAATACTTTCTGCCTGTGTGCAAGTTCTACAATTATTTTATCCACTGAAAGAAATTCAGAGGGTGTAAAACACAACTTAATTGTGCTGCTTGTGATTTTCCCCCTGGGTTTGATATGCTGACAGGCCTTGTACGTGTTGGTTGCTTTTGTTCCACTGCAGGCAAGTGGATTCCACATCAGTGTGGAGATAGCAGCGTAAAGATCCGTGCTGGCCTTCTTTCCATGGCCTTTCTGTGGGAACATGCTGCTGTAGACAGTAAAATGTAATGGATGGCCACGTTTGTGCGTGTTAAGCAAAGTGTGGTTATTTGCTTTAATTGTTTATGTTGTTAACTTGGATTTAATGTGTTTTTGCAGTGTACGTATGTCATTGCAGTTGGTGGATTAAAGTGCAATTTAGTGTGTTCAAAGTCTTGTGGCAGAAATAAGTTGTAATTAACCTTTGTTTCCTTATCAAACAAGCTAAAATACTCACAGTTTTGCCTTGTAATCTTTAGCCTTGGATTTGCAGGCAGTAAACAGGTTATTTGCAGGCATCCCAGGTGTCCCTTTGATGGATTCAGCGCAGTGTGGAGTGATTCTGTGATTCAGATGCAGGATGGAGGAATATTCCCTTGACCAGTAATGTCATTAGTGCACCGAGACGCCAGAAGTGGCAGCCCTGGCTGCAAGGCCTTGCGTGCGCTAACATGTTCTTCTCGGTGTGGACTGAAGTTGTTCACTGCTTGAGCCGACACCGCTGGTGTCCTCTGAAAGTGCTCGGGTGCTTCCCACAGCCCAGCACAGTGCTGGGGGTTGAAATGCAGTTAGGGGAGAAGCCTGGGCTTTGTGGAGATTGATGCTATTTTAGACAAGGCTTTTACCTGTCACGTGCATGAGAACCTAACAGGCTTTTCTTTGAGTCCAGGCTGAAACAAAAGCGCAGATGTCGCATCACTCACATTCCTGCTGCTTGGGAGAAGCAGTGAGGGGCACTGCCAGCAGCAGCTGGGGCGGGGGGCACGAGGCAGGCCTTGTTACTTATGGGGACTGAATGCTTTTCCGGGGTGTGGGGCAGGGACACCTCAGCCTGGCTGCACACTGCTTGTCTGGCAGCCATGTAAAGCTTTTGAGCAAAGTCCCAGAAGAGCGATTTACAGGAATCTCAGGGCTCTGCGGGCCCAGTGCTGTGTGATGGGCTGGTGTTGTTTCCCAGGAGCCCTCATGGCGTGTGCTCTGTGTGCTCCAGCTGAGGTGTCTGCAAACAGAGTGCTGGAGACGAGGAAAGGAACCGTGTAATCAGGGCTGGCAGATCAGGGCTAGCATTTGATTTGGACTGCCCGGGATGGAGGGAGCTCGTGTCACAGTGACATCCTTGTTGTACTAAGCAGCATGGTACCATAAAGGTGTTGGCAGGCTGGCTAAGCTGAATCCTTCCTCCAGCCTTACCCCAAGGGGTGAGACAGTAGATGTATTGTGTTTGTTTTCTGTTGGCTTTTGCTTGCCTGCTTTAGCAAGAAACATATCTGTTAAGTGAAAACGTCTTCCCTTTTAATTGGTATTAAAGTTGAGATATCCTGAGTGCACTGCATTGCATTAGAGTATGAACAACTGCTGTGTGAGATATTTGTTCCTGATGACTGCCAGAACGAGGGTTATCGGTGCCTGTGGCTTCTGTCCTGCTCATTTCACGCAGGCATACCGTCAGAACTCGGCTTCTGGAAATAGCCCTGAGAGATGCAGGCGGCTGGAGACACATTCCCACCCAAAGTGTGGGGTTTTGGTGATGAAAGAAGAGCTGTAATGGGGTAATAAAAACTCAGCGGTAATTCCATCTCTTGGTGTCCTGCAGAAGGCTTCCAATAGCTGTCCTGTCACTGGGATGTGAGCATCTCACCCGTGCTGGTGGGCTGCTGGGGAAGCACTCAGCACATGGCAGGGGCTTGGGGGCTTCACCAAAAGTCAACGCCTGTTTGGCCTGTAAAAATAGCTATTCCAGAAAAAGAGCAACGTCTGCAAAGTGTGATTTATTGCATCTTAAAATATTAGGACATGCTGTGTGCTGTTGTGTTGTTAGCTGCTCGGTTCATTCCGTGTTCTTTTTAGAACAGCTCTGTGGTGTTACTGTCACTTAGGGAACCCCGGGCATGGGAAGATTTTGTGTATAAATAGGTTTTGGTCAGTATTGCAGAACAGGTTTGATCCAGTCTTCCTTCTCATGTTGGCCTTTGTGGAGCTGTGTTTGTGCTGAGCTTTGGCAGAGCGACTCCAACCTTTCTGCTGTCCCTGGTTTATCCCTGCAGGAGCGGGGCAGAACAAAGCTGCTTTCTGCACGTGGTACAGAATAGTGGTGCTGTCTGTAGTTATGTGTGCATATCCAAAGGAAAAAAAAGCGAAGAAAGCTAGTGATTAAAGGCATCAGCTTTCTCAAAAGAAAGGAAGCCCGTAGTGCAGGGCTGCAGCAGGCTGGCTGTGTGGAGCTCGTGTGGGGAAGCTGCTAATTGGTATGGGCAGCAGCCCTGAGATGGTTTGATCTTCATTTGGGATTGTATTCATGGTTCATTTTCATCTGCCTGAATTTACAGTACATTTTAAATACTGCGACTAAGGATCCATTCATCATGCCCAAAAGTCATCGCGTGGGGCTCATCAGCAGCATTGTGTTGGTCGTGCAGTTTGGGCTGTGGACTGGGGGGTGCTGTGAGGTCAGTGCTGTGCCTGAGGATCTGAGCTCCAGCCACAGCGTGTGCCCAAAGGGCTGCGTGGAATCTGACAGGAAGGAGCACTGCGGTGTCACAAGGAGTGCAGTCTGACGGTGTGTTGCAGTGTGCAGAACATGGGCTGGAGCTTCAGACAAGCATTGTAGGCACAGGGATGCTTTGGTTTGGGAACGCATTTCTTGTGTTTTCTAGTTTTTGTTTTGGTTTTTTTTTTTTTTAGGAGACACTATTAGTCTTTTTAGCATATTGTGTGGGCATTTATTTATTAGAAAAGGTGTTTTTGGCAATAGTTTTACTCTAAAGCTGATGCCTTAACTACTCTAATGAATAGCAGCACTGCTATTCACTGTCATCAGGCAGAAAACACTTGATTGTGAGCTTATCGTCTATGCTCTCAAGCTGGAGTTCATGTCTTCCAGTGGTGGTGTGACTGGGGGCTGATGGCTCTTCGAGCTCCAGCTCTCTCTTCTCCGAAAGCATTCCTGCTGTGGCTGAGAGTTCATAGCTTCTGGGGTGCAGTTTTTCCCTCTTTTTTTAACCTTTTCTCCTGAGAAGAAGTCTTGCACTGGGGAATTACAATAATGAAAGGAAGATATAAATCTGCACAGAGCATAATGTGATCTGTGTGCGTGTGCAGAGTAGGACATGCAGTCCTGGCTTGAGAATTCAAACCTTGCTCATTAGGGGTCTTTCTGCTTTGAATGTGTTGTGAACTTCAGGACTGAAATTGGCTTTAGTGCAAGAGCTGCAAGGTTGCTTTCTCGCCATCAGCCCTTGGCTTTGTTTAACTCCCCTCTTGGAAATACTGTGTGTATTTATATGAATTGGTTTAAACAGAAACATGTCCCTGCTTACAGCTGGATGGGAGTTTGCTGTGCCCTGGTGTGCAGAAGAACACCCGTCTTTAACTTCTTTCATTTCTTTGCCAGTATGGTTTCTATAATGTTTAAACACAGATGTGTTCCAATGTAAATTACCTAGAAGACAGGTAAGTCTGAATATATGCTGTTAAAAATATGCTTTGGTGCCCTGAACTATTGTACACACTGCAGTAAGAACGCAGCCCTGCTGCTCCAGCACGTCCTTCAGTCTGACTGTACCGGGATGCTTAGCAAACTGATAGCATGCGAAATGAAATCTCTAAGTCAGTCAGTCTCACTGCTGGGCAAAATTCTGATGGGCAGTGAATGAATGGTACTGATGTTTTCTTCTGTTCAAACATTTCTAGCTTCTGTGTTGTCTCTTTTTGCTAGAACAAGTTGAAATCATCGCAGAAGGATAAAGTGCGTCAGTTCATGGTCTTCACACAATCGAGTGAAAAGACAGCAGTGAGTTGTCTGTCCCAGAATGACTGGAAGCTGGACGTTGCAACAGACAACTTCTTCCAAAATCCCGAACTTTATATACGAGAGAGTGTTAAAGGATCACTGGACAGAAAGAAGTTAGAACAACTATATAACAGATACAAAGGTGAGTGCCTCATTCCTCACTGTGTGTTATTAATTGTGGTGTGTAAGTTGGAAGGGAAGTACGTGTGGTTCCTGCTTTGCAAAGATGACATGAAGTTGCTTTATGTACCCTGAATGTATATCCGTGTGTACAAGGAGAGCATCTGGAACTGTGTGTTCAGTGAGTACCTGCAGTGGTTAACGTGGATTTATTCCTTCTGGGGACACGTATTGCTCGGGTCTCATTCCTGGCATAGAGAAAGACTGCGTACCAATGACCACTGACAGATTCTACCTTTAAATTTTATCAGCTTTTGACTTCTATCAGTGTTACAAACAGAGCAGAAAATAGTGGTTTTTTTTTAATGTTATACAGACAGTGTTCAGCTGGTAGTATCCCACCAAAGTATTAAGGTGAATTCAAAACAGTGGAACACTTAGGAGAGCTATAACTGACTGCTGCTACATTTTCTGTCAGTTTTCGTGTGTGTGCATAATCCAAACACCTCAGTTTCCCTCAAGTCTTTGTCAGCTTGCATCAGTAGATTTTTTGTTAGTGCACTTGAAATGTGAGCATCTCATCTCCAGACCAGATATTGGGTCCTTCATGGACAGAGGAGTGTGCGTGGCTGACCTGCAGTCGTAACGGGGCAGTGTGACTCTCCTCTTGGAGGTTACCTTGGCCAATCTCATGCATGGTGGTGATGCCAGAGGATGCATAATGCTTGGTACAGTATGGGGAGGTTTGGTAATTGTTTCAGAACAGCTTATGAATGGGCACTGCGGAATTGGTTATGATAGTTCCCAAAGACACCAATGATTGAGGCACTGGTGGGGAAGGACTGCTGTTCTCTCTCTGGGATGAGTCAGTGTCATCTGCAGAAACCAAATGTATGTGGTGCTTTTGTCTCTCAATGAAATCAAATGAGCTTTGTTGTATGGGAAGCTCTATTGTTGAAACTTCCTCAAATGTTAAGGATTCAGCGTTGAAAATAAGAAACTAACCTTGCTTTTAAAATGTTTCCTTCTAAGAGCGTATCTTGGCAACCTTGAAAACGTTTGCTCTTCTTAGACCCTTGTTGAGTAAATGAACTGTTTCAAAAGTCTCTGTATTTTCTGACACTTATTTCTATATCCTGAAGATCCTCAAGATGAAAATAAAATTGGTATAGATGGTATACAGCAGTTTTGTGATGATCTAGCCCTTGACCCAGCCAGCATTACTGTACTCATCATTGCATGGAAGTTCCGAGCTGCAACGCAGTGTGAATTTTCAAAGCTGGAATTCATGGATGGAATGACTGAGCTAGGGTAAGTGTGCAGTGTTGGGTGCTGAGTGTGACCCAGGGCCAACGCTGGATGGCACAGTCCTCTTCTGAAGCATTCAGGGTTGCGTTGTCCTCTTTGACTTCAGGGGTTTTCAGAGTCTGGCACCACTTGTCTGCCTCTGTAGAAATGCATCTGGTGTCTGAGCACTGGCAGCTTAGTGACCAGGAGAGAAAGGGGACATTAAGGAGTGCTCCTTGCCTTGGTTGTGTGATGTGGCTGCCACAGTTACTTACATAGGGAAAGCAAGGGCATTGGCCAGCAGTGCAGCGTACCTGAGTTTTCTCTGCATGGTGTGAATGCAGTAATCTTTATCACATCTTGTGGATTATCATGTGCAGTGGGCAGTGTGAAGAATTAACAACTAAGGAATGAAATAGTGCTCTAATCACAGACCAGTGATTAGATAAATCAGGCTTCTTGATTTTTGTTTTGATAACTGTATTCCACAGTGATGTTATAAAAGACTCTTAACATTGTATCTCTTATGTTATAGCAAAATCAATAATACACAAGTGTGCTTTTTGAAATGCAGGTGTGACAGCATAGAAAAACTAAAGGCTCAGATTCCTAAAATGGAACAAGAGTTAAAAGAGCCGGGAAGATTTAAGGATTTTTATCAGTTTACTTTCAACTTTGCAAAGAATCCAGGACAGAAAGGTTTAGGTATGTATTCTTAATCATAAATGTTTGTGCATGGAATGTGGGATGACTGATGAAAGCAGTGCTGTGATTCAGTGAGGCTGAATGCTAACCACCTTTGGGATGAAGTGCAGCTCATTATGTGAAAGATGGATGTCAGTGTCAGATCTTTGAGCTGATAGAAATATCTGCATAATTAATATAGACTACAAAATTATACGAGAGGGTTTATTCTCTCATGGAGTATGTGGAATTCTCAGTGAGCACAAAGGAGTGTGATCTCACATTAAAGTCATAATTACATCATTTAGAATTTGCAGCACTAAACAAAGTAATTCAGTTTTCACTTATAGAGTAAACTTAACCTGTAAAACTGATTTCCATATAAATGCACTTGTGTGGAGTCTCCTGTGATGCCAAAATGCATGCAAATATCTTTGCAAAGTAGAATTTGCATAGTGCAAGTAGATCTCTGCGTCCTGGGCTTGGTGCCTTTGGTGCTGCTGTGCCCTTGGTGCTTCCCTACCACCTTTCCTCTGTTCAATGAATGAACTGACCAGGCAGCGTTGTTTTTTTCATTACATAAGTGGTGAAGTAGAAAGATAGCTTAGTAAAAGTCGTTTGGGGGGAAAAAGCCCAACACAGAACACAGACCTGAGTAAATGAGTAGACTGCAAATCTGTCTCCTCCAAACTGCAAAAAGAAAGGGACAAAATTATCTTTCCAGCAGTAATGTTAGCCAACCAGAATGCACATCTGTGTACGTGCGGAGGTGTTGGCTATAACCAGTATTTCTGGGCGCTGTGGCCATCAACTTCTTACCTTAAGTGTTGTACTGTTGAGAGGAAATACAGTACTGAGAGCCCAGCAGGTTCCTTCTTAGCAGTAAATGTGTTTTTGTCTGTAATGAAAGATGTCCCTGACCAGCCTGCTTTAACTGAAGGCTAAATTGCTTGGTTTTGTAGTCAAATCTTCTGCTAAAGGCAGACATTGCTCGCCTCATGTGCTGTCACTCTCAGGTAGAATGTATTCAGTGACTGTTTGGACTTCTGCTTAATTTGTATCTGCTCCTTGAGCCCCATGGCTGAAGCCTTTAGTGTGGGATCATACCCCATGCAGCTGATGGAAAATGCTCTGCAGATTTTATTCATTACTTTGGTCAGAAAGCTTTATAATGTGGTTATACATTAACTTTTAACGCATAAACTCTTAATATCAAAGATGTCAGCAGTTCAGGAGCTCTCCCAGACACCTTCTGTTTGCCCTGCAGCAATGCAGAGAGTTCATTCTCTGTTTTGCTTGCTGTTGCTTTTAGCTCTGAGGTCCGCCTCCCTGTTTGCTTGGTTGTGAAGTAGTTGGGGGTCGGGAGAGAAGGGGGTGGTTTTTGTTTTGCTTCTGGATCGAGCTGTGGCTTATTGCTTTGTCCGGAGGTGCAGCTGCTCATGTGCCTCTTCTCTCCTCTCCCACAGGAGGACTGTTTATATTAGAAGAGATAAGATGTGCTGCAAAAAGCTCTAAGAGCTCCTGTGACAGGCAGGGTCTCTTAGGCAGCATTCTGTAGTTATTTTAATAACCACATGGATACTGAATGCAGTTAAGATCAGTGTTTTGTTACACACAGCAGAGATCCTCATTAATTCCTGGTAGAGGAGATCGCGATAGGTAGCAGTGCGGGGCTGTCACGCTTCTTATTTAAGCAACTCAGCACTGCGTGTCCAACAAACAGGGCAGTGTGTCAGTTCGGCCTTCTGCAAATCCCAGCGAGGCTGCCCAGCCCTGCCAGGTGCGGCAGTGCGTCTCACTGCTGTGCGCTCGCAGCGCCCACTGCTGGCAGCAGCGTGCAGTTGCCCGGTAGGCAGCGCGTTGTTGCTGTTCCTGAATGCTTGTCGGCTTTCTCAGTCGCTCTGAGAAACGGATTCAAAACCAGTGAGAACTTCAGAGGATGCTGAAATGCACAAATTGAGACTTTGGTATCAAACAGTTTTTCAAAGAGAAATCTGACTGCAGAAACGAGCACTCAATAAAGCCATGTTACAGAGCCAGCACCGCTAACGGTGACGCTCTGAAAATGAAACCATGAAAAGGCAATTGAACGTAGATTGTATTTATATGTAAGTAAAACAAACCCACTCATACTCTGAAATACTGCATTTATTTAATTTCTGAGACAGATATTTCACCGAATTGTCCCTAAGGTACAGCCAGGCAGCAAAAAGCATTTGAAATAGCCTTGTGTTCTGGATGTGTTAAACACAAATGTGTGCAGTTTTCAGTCCTATGTTGGAGTGGCAGCATTGAAATCTGTACCGTATTTGTATGACAGTTCCATGTATGACTCTCTTCCATAGAAGATCCATGGGTATGTTTGCATTAGATTCATCTTTGAACCTTCATGACTGTGCAGTTCATCTTAGTTGAGATGCCTGTTGAGGTGATGTATTGAAGTGCATGTGTCTAAGAGTAATATATTTTAATATTACAGATTTAGAAATGGCCATTGCCTACTGGAATTTAGTACTTAATGGAAGATTTAAATTTCTAGACTTGTGGAACAAATTTTTGTTGGTAAGTTTAAACCTTTACAAAAACTGGACTGCAGTAATTTCCAAACGTGGAAGATAAATGTGTTTCTGTTGTTGATGCAATGGGCTGTTCTGACACAGACCCCAGCTACTGCGCTTCATAGTGCATGCAGGGGAGTTATGTTCTGGGAGAGTAAAAAAGGTTCTGTGTACAGATTTTTAATGTGTTTTTTTTTGTGTGTGTGTGTAAATTTTCCATCCCTACAAACAGGAGCATCATAAAAGATCAATACCTAAGGATACCTGGAACCTCCTTCTAGACTTTAGTACAATGATAGCAGATGATATGTCAAACTATGATGAGGAAGGTAACAATTTCTATTTTCTTTCATTAACTTCTGTCTTATGTTACACTTATTTCTGTGTGTCTGCTTTGACACAGCTGTCTAACAGCAGTGGAATTAGAAGATCACTGGTGATCTAAAGTCCAGTTAGAGCTGCCTAATGCATGTTGTTATCATCTGTTTACTGCAGCTTCAAAAAAAGAAATGCTGATGTTTTCTTAAACTTGGTTTATTTTTTCCTTCTTAGCTCAGATGTTGATTTGCTCTCGAGGACAGCCCTTCATCTGTCCATTTTAAAACATGGGTTCTCTGCCAGTGCATTTTTTGGCATCTTCAACCAAGTAACGGATTGGGTGGGCTGTGCATTTCCTTGTAGATAATGCATTTCTTAGCCTAGAATACATTCAAAGTTTGATTATTTTGGTTTGCATCAAGATCAGACGTAATAATGTGAAGCTGGCTGCAATGCAGCAGTCACTGAACAGAAGTTATTCCTGCACCATGTGTTTCTTGTAAACTTTTGTATTGATCTTTCCTCTTTCAATCCATCTGCAGCCAAAAACTGCTAATTACCATCAGTCCTTGGTGGCAGATCAGTCACTGAGTGGAGGAAACTGAACTTCTTGTACTTTCAGAGCAGTGGGGAGCAAACTTCTACAACTTGAATAACTTTGGACACTTCTCATTCCCTTTTCATTAAGCAAACTGGCTGCTGCCAACTATAAGTCAGTGTGGTTTTGGAAAGCTAAAGGCAGAAAAACATGTTCTAGTTATTTGGAGTAAAAATATTTCCAGGGCAGGAGCTCAAGCACCCACCTTTACTTTAACCTTTATGGGACTGTGGTGCACAGGAGTGGTGGTGGCAGCTCTTTAGATATCACTACCTGTAACATGCTAGATGTTGATGTGCATTTTAACTACCTCATGATAAGGAGTATGGAAATGTAGTGCCATGGCAGTGTAATACCAGTTTCTAGGCCATCACAGTGCGTTTTGTTGGCTTTGGGTACGGCCCCATGCGCTGATTCTAACAGGTGTGCTTTTCATTCCTGCAAAATCACAGGGTGAGCTGCATGTGCTGGCTGCAGCTTACAGCATGGGCTGCCCCATGCAGTGCCCAGGGGTTTGCAAGCAGCTCCTGCCACCCTGGATCATCACGTTGGAGTTGCTGTCCCCACAACAGACAGTTTTAAGCAGGAACTTTTAGTTTGCCCAGGAGGATTAAGGCAGTTATCACTCTTGAGGGGGATTTCTATCAGCAGGGTCTAAGGAAGGCAGAAATCTGTAACCAGCGTTTACATTTCAAGCAAGGAAGCCAAATAATATTTTTTTTGCGTGAAACTATTTAAGACTGGAATGTAAATAAATTCTTCAGATCCAAAGCTTTAAAAGAAAGAAAGCCTGCGTCAAACTGATTTCTTATGCTTTGGTCCTCCTTTTTTCTTCTTCTTTTTTTTTCGTTTAGGGGCATGGCCAGTTCTTATTGATGACTTTGTGGAATTTGCACGCCCTCAAATTGCTGGGACAAAAAGTACAACAGTGTAGCACTAAAGGACCCTTATAGAGTGTACATAGTCTGTACAAATACCTGAAATGGAAAATTGCACAGTCAATTTCTGCTGGCTGGACTGAACTGAAGATCAATCCTCACAATGTGGCTGAGGGTTGAGACAAACCTTTAAGGATACATCATGGACCATATCGTAATTCATCCTTCTACTGGTGGTTTGGGCTTTTCTTCTAGTCTGGACCACTGCTGCCCGTTAAAATTCCAACATTGTGGATTTCATCATGGATGATGATTTTGTTTCTGGACTGCCCAAGTTTCAGCTCCCATAAGTCCGAGCAGCTTTATAATGATTTTGAGGTTTCTGGTTTTGCATAAAGCACAATGCTGGTCATCATCACACGACTGTTGTATGGCATCTGAATTACACAGCTCAACATCAGAAGAGTTTCTAAAGGAATCCTTAAATATACACTTGGGGCTAGTTGCAAAGACAGTCTTGATAGCACTTCCTTTAAGAGTGATATATTTAAGTGTACTGGGTCTGATTTTTGCTTTTTTAATTAAATTTTTTTTTTCCCTTTTCTGGAAAACTGCAGGTATCGTCTAAGTGAGTGTGAGCGTCTGGTAATAAGAGTTACAAAAGAACCAGGAAAGCTTCAGGTTGTTGATACTGGGCTGTCTGGGTGCCTGTCTGCATTACTTGATTGTACATCAGCTGCCCCTGAGAACAGTTGAAGTAGGACACAACTCCTGTGTGCTTACAGCAGCTGTGTTGGGTGTTACAGACGGCCTTTGGTGAGATGAGCTGTGTGTGTAAGGGTAGATTCTAAGATTCTTTAGGTTGTCATCTAAGGAAATGGATTTTGTTGCAGTTCTGAAGTGCTTCTGTCACACAAAAGCTTTCTCATTGCTGTGGAAATCTAAAACTTGAATATGCTGAATTTGTGTCTTAACGTTTGCAGCACAACACAGTATTTCAAATTCAGGCATGGAGCTTTCATGCTTGAGGTGTGAGGAAGCAAACGGCCCTGTTATAATGAGAAGATGGTGAGTTTGATATGAAACCTGGTTTTGAAACCATTACTCTGGGAAGCAAGTTGAATCTTCATCATGTAGAGGTACTGCCGCTATGGATGACGCCGATTTTTCATTATTTTGTTGAGCTTTCCTTAAACGGGCATTTCACTGTGGTTGCCAAATATAGAAATGAAGTGTAAAGCATGTCCAGACACAGATCAGATATAAACTACTACACTGGCTTTGTTTCCTTAAGTTATTTTGTTGGTTCATCACTACTTCTCGTTGTCTTACTGCGTTTAATTAAACCAAGTTCCTTTTGTTCAGAACAGGTGTTATCGGATGCAATCCTTTATTTGTAACGTTACAAGAGAGCTCATGCCCTGCTGTTGTGCTAAACATGATCTACTGCCGAGTTGTTACTGGGGAAGAGATGTTCTCTTGAGATCAGTTCTGCTCTGTAAAAGCGAGGTGGAAAATACAAAGCTCCGGGAAAGCAGAAGCCTTAGTTGCCATTAAGGTCAGAGGTGAGAGTCCATGTGCTGAGCAGTCCCACGGTAAGGCCGCACTTCTGAAATAGTAACTGGTACTTGCAGTAAGCAGCAGAACACTTGTGTGCGGATGCTAAAAGTATTTTAGGGGGAAAAAAAAAGAAGAGAGGAAAAAAAAAAAAGGCTATAAGATTGCTGAAAATGTTTGTTTCTGTTCTGTGAGGTTTGACCACAAGGCTCGCTCCCCTCACAGCAGTGCCCTTTGCAAACCCATCTGTGCATTTATTTCCAGAATCCGGTTCCGCAGAACCATTGCAGACTTTCTCCAGCTACTGGAATTGGCTATGCCAAAAAATGTGTGTTTTGCTGCTTTCACTATTTCCTTTTTAAATTTTGTGTAAATATAAACGGGGACTTGAGATTAGGGGCGGGGTGTGTGTGGAAAAAGCTCTACAAGGTATCTATGCGTGCTGTTTTCTGTCTTGAGGGTTCTGGTACAGTTTGAGGTTGATTTGTTCGTACGCTGTGTCTGGGATGAGAACCAACTGTTTTTGTCCCAGGACAGACTTGTCCCTCAAAAGAAGTCTGACGTGGGGTAGTGGCATAATGCTGTGCTGTTTTAAAGAATATTCCTTTTGAATGCAAAATCTTTTCAACAAAATAGTGTTGTCATCAGTTTGGTACTATGTGCTTATAATTACTGTGTAATTATAAAGAAATACATAAAACTTTGAGTAATTATGTTGCAGAAAAAGGTTATTTGTGCTATGATGGCATCTTAAAGAGTTTTTCAAAAAACACTGATTTAACAGGGTGTTGTTCTAAGGACAAAATGCCTGGTGAGAGAATATTTTGTACTGAAAAGTGCTCAGATATGGCCATGTGGTTTTTTTGTTCCTTTAGTTCTGTTTTTTTTTAAGAATGCAGACAGTTGCTTCCTTGGATTGCTTTAATTCTTAAGTGCTAATGTCCTCAATCTGATCATCTCCCCTTAATGGATCAATTTAATTTTGCCAAATATGAGGAAAAAAAAAAAAAAGGTAAACATCTCATTTATAATCTGTTTTTATACATTAAATATGTACAAAATTAGAAGTGCCCTGATACAAAACACTCATGTCAAGATTATATTTAGTAAGAAACCATCATTTACATATCTCTGTAAGTTCAAATGTAACTTCTTAAATCCCTCGCATTCCCAACAGAGGCAATAAAGCTCCAATGAAATTGCCATGACTAAGTCTTCTCATGCATTGTTTCAGTGTATTATTTGTAAGACATTTCTAGACTGTTTTTTTAACCACAAACAAATAAGAGTGGAATATTGGTCCCTTGCCTAAAACACACACTTGGGGGCGGGTAAGTCTTTTTTGGGGGAAAGCATCTATGAACTGATGCAGTCTTGCCTGCTGCTTATGCTGAATGTTTACAGGTACAGAATGGAGCTGACCTTACCCAGCTGTGCTGCATTACCATTACCTACCATGCAGTGGAAGACACCACACACAGTGCATTTGTTTAAGTTGGGTTAAAGACTACAGTACCATAAAGTGACTTTTTTTTATTGAACAACCTGTTAATGCATAACTTATGAATTGCTTCAGAACTGTTTTACAATGAACTCCTTGCAGAGAACTCCTTATTTAAGAAAGATATAATTTTTTAAGAACGCATTTAATAAACTTTTGTCATTCACACTTATTTCAAATAACAGTGCCAGGCGTCTCTGTAGATTTTATTTGGGTGTGGTAATGCTGCCTGTATTTGGTTTTTAAGTCCTCTGCTCTCAGAGAGCTCAGACAGCCCAGTACGTAGTTGATGAAATCTTAGTACTTAGTAATCTTAGTGCTAAGAAAGAGGCTTTTGCTTTGCAGTACTGAGCTGAATGACTGAGAAGCAGCAGGTGAGAGCAGCTAAGGAGTTGGGCTCTGCAGTCAGAATGGCCGAAGGGTGGACATACGAACAGGTACTTGTTAACTGGTAGCTTCTGGTGTTCTGCCAACTATTTTTTTCCTCCAATAACCTCATACTAGTTATTTCAGTTCTCCTTGTAGATAACAAAATAAACTGGTACTTTGTGTTTCCCTTTTAAGCTTAATTCTAATGTCTTCGTCGTATGACGTGTCAAGCCTTTCTCCCAAAGCATTCAAGGGCAGAAGGCAAAATACTGAACAGGGGCACTGTTAAAGAAACCAAAGCTGAGGAAAGGGATGTGGAAAGTGGTTGGCAAGGTAAAGTCTGTCCATGTGCCTGTCCATCTGTCCAGTTGTCCGTTTGTTTCTATCTGTCCATGCAGCTGTCTGTCAGTCCCTCAGGCTCCATGTCTTTGTGGAGCTGTGCAGCCCTGTTGGACTGTTCCTGTCTCCTCCTCTGTGACTGAAGGTGGGGAAAAGGGGGGGGGCAGCCTCACTGCTCTCAGGTATCTTTTCCTCTGACCCGTAATTAAAACAATGACTCAGCTGTAAGCGAAAGTTTTATTTAATAAATATAATTCATTTCCATAAACCATAAAGCAACTTCTACTGCCCGAGCTGCACGATGCGCAAGCACACAGATGCGCTGTCAGCGTCAGAAGGAACACGAGGCAGCCACAGTGTCACAGGTCCAGAATTCTTAGTACTAATTATTGCTACAGTTACCACTTGCCTGTGATCCTTAATTGCCTAAAATTAAGGATCGACTTCGTTAACATGGTACCCTCACATGCTTTTCCTATTCATGTTGGTTTTTTTTCTCAAAAAAAAAAAAAGGAGCAAGGAGAACTCGATGCCCCTCCCAGGAGGAAGGAGTGATGGTAAGTGTGCATAAGAACTGAAATCTACAGTAGAACATAACTGGAAATTTAGAAAGTCACTTCCTTGCACCCTCTTTGTATCTGAAAGCGAACCCCATTATAACCCATACCAGCAACAGAGGAAAACAGTGATATATGTATATATTTTTTTAAAATTCATTGCCACAATGCAGAAAAGATGAGAATGACTGAACTCTGCTGCTACTCCATGTAAAAGTGCTGAGGAACATACACACTGCATCCTATTCGGGTGAAGCGTAGGATTTCTTTTAGGCAAGTCACACTGCTGTAATCTGCAGTATTTTTCATCTCTTATCACTTCATATTACATATAGAGATCTTTGGCCCACGGCCCATCAGCTTTTATTCATGTCCATGCATTTATACAAACCAGAAACAGCAACAAAGAAGTCGTATCTACAATGACAATTTTATATACTTATTGTAAACAGCGAGGTAATATGGCAACACCTAGAGCAGGGCAAATACATCAACGTGATGAGAACATTCCTTTAACGAAAGCCACAGAAGCGTGGGCAGCAGAGCCAGTGCTGACATCTCTATGAGCAGCTGAACAATCTAAGGGAAGCAGAAGCCTCGCAAATACCGATGCGAATGCATGTTTAAGCTGATCGAGGGCAAGAGTGAGGTGGTGCAGCCATGAGCATCCCATCTTTCCTCCTGTTTGTAAATTGAGTCAAATAGGAAGCAGAAACCAGAGAAGTCATACCACTGGAAGCAAACAGAAGCAAAGAACATACAAACCAGCCAACAATAAAGAGTCACAGAAAGAAAGAAACAGCCTGCAACAAAAGTCTAAGTAGGAAATAAGTTAGAAACAAGAAGAGAAGGCTGAAATTAATCCATATTTCACAATGGCTGGTTCACCCAGCTCTAGGAATGCATCTCCATTAAAAAAAAAAGGTAGAACAAAGCAGGTGCAGTGCTGGTGGTTATAGCTATTAAGTAAGTTATTTTCCAGAGCAAAAGAAGGACAGCTTAAATGGCTCACAAACACATTATGATGCACTTTTGGACACTAAATTTCAATAAGTATGGAAGTGTCAAAGAAAACAAAACTATTAAAAATAATATAGACTGATTCAACAGCTTTGAGACACTTCTAACACTAGAAAATGAGACTTTTCCCCCCCAGTATAGAAGCTAGTCATAAAAAAGAATGTTTGGAAAGTATTAGTAAAGGTTCCAGTAAGAAATTATGGTTGCCTAATATATACGCACTCTGAGTTGAGCTGCATAATGTTTTGTACTAGAAAACAAGAACTCAGAATGAGTTCTTCCTTCGCTTTTTTTTTTTTTTTAAATTCCCTCCTCCATTGCCTTTAAAAATACACAGAATATTTTAGCAGAATCTACACACATTCTAGTTTGTGAACAAACTGGAACATATTCCCACTCCCTCTTTTCTGCTGCATGGTTAAAAAGCCTAAGTCTGGTAACTTGCTTTAACGGACTGCTTGCTTTCCTGCCACAAGTTATGGGCTTCAAGGCTGAGACCCAGCTCTATCATAGCTCTTTATTTCCTTCCTACGGCACAGTCTCCCTCACCACTGAATCAGAGAGCTGAATTCTTCTTTGAATGGAGTAAGCTGTATTTTGTGCTGTCATCTTTCTCAAGACTGACCGACTTTTACAGTAGACTCAGTGCACGAGTGTTTCATACACTTTAACTGTCAGAGAAATACACAACAGCTTTCTTCCTTGAGCAAAAGCAATTCTCAATCATCTGAGACATATTTACAAAAACATATGGTCCTAACTAAGTGCCAGACCAAAAATCTGGTCATGTGCAAACTGATTCTATACTCATTAAATGATAAATTATAGGTTTAACTTGTACTGCAAATAGAAAAATATACCTTGGCAGACAGATGGATTCTTAAGTTCTTCCTGAACTGTTTAAATGCGTGTTTCTTCGGTAACCTTACAAACACTGGGAAAAGGGAAAGCAGGGGAAGAGGGACAAGAGGAGATGGAAGGTTTTAAAGAAATATATATAATCAATGTAAATTATTCTTCAAGTTCAGGACTGTGAATCTTCTGTGCACATAATTAACATACTTGTATGGTAAAAGCCAACAAACATTTCTGTACAGAGCCTGACCCAATCTAAGTGCTTGGAGTGGGGTTATCAAACCATCTGACATTCTGACAGAGTGAAGCACAGTGTCTATTTCCACACATGGTGCACCAGCCAGACACACAGATGAGCTAGCTAATGAGGCCCAACAGTCACACACTCTGCCTGGGTGCTGTGGGTGACACGGACAAACACACACTTCTCAACAGTGAAACATGGTGGCTTACACACAAAAGATATGACAAAACAGCAGATATCTGTTAGAGTTTTTAGAAACATCTTCTATATTGATGTCAGATAGAAGACTGTCTCAGAATGAGAAACTGCTAAGACAAGTAACTTAGGCCAATAGGGGAAACCCCTGCAGGTGTGCTGAGAGCAGCTGCTGGTTTTGTACTAATCTCAAGCTTAACTGCATCTTCAGTTAAGAAGTTGCTACAGGAGCTATTAGCTATTTACAGTCTGTTTGATCTAGTTTCTTTCACTGAGAATTTTAATACATTGCTTTTTACCTTATGCTGGCTGGCAGGAAGATTCTTTCAATAGTGATAGGACTTCAGAGACTGACTTCAAACTGGATTCCCAAACAGGTGTCCAAACACAGCAGCATTTTTCCTGGCCTGCACCTGAGGACTACCTAAGACAAAGCTCTAACCTTCATTTAGCTCTCACATATAAAGAAAGAACCCTAATAGCTCTGGCCAACACAGCAGAACAAAGAGGCAAATGTTGTTATCCTTCCCCAAACATGAAGACACATTTATTTAAACTGATGAGAAAAAAAAAAGTACCTGCAAGATGTATCGTGTACCATTCAAAGCTGCATTGGTGCAATTTGTTTTTATTGACATACTTAGGTATCAAAACACTGCCACCAATGTCTCAGATTCTTCAGATATATGAAGATAATTAAGCATTAATTGCATCTTCAACGTACAACGCGGCCAAATATAAATACATGAAAAAGAATAAAACATGCAAAGATTCACCAACATTAAAAGGATTCCTCACTCAAAAATTTATGCTACTGAGACACCTGCACGAGCCACTGCTTCTTACCCATTTTTCCACATCAAGTTTGTGACTGGTTAATGAAACGCTTGTTAGAGAAGATGACTGGCTTTGAATCACACTTCAAGAAAACAGTGACCTGTTAAATCCTCACGACTCCAAATGACCGATGCACGCTGTTTCTCAAAGTGATGACTCATAAAATTGCCATTCGTACACCAGCACAAATATTTGAATAATATTTATCTCTAAAATTACTGAGTATTTAAACACTTCAGAAACCGTCCATGGAAACAATAATCTGATCTGCAACCCGCTAAGATAGCAGCTGTAA